TCTGTTCCTTCCCCTGGGGACAGTCGGGACTGCACACCCAGACATAAACCTTCTAAAAGGAAAGTAATTTTTTAAATTTGCGTGCAGCCGTCACTCTCTCCATCCCTCTGGATTACAGGTAAAAATTAAGAGTGAGATCACACTTAAAGAAAATGGATTCTGGTTACATTTATGTGGAGGGGTTAGTCCCGTGGGGACAATCGAGACCTTTGTATGTAGGGGAGAGTATTGCGCATTGCTAACTCATGCTAGGCCAGCACATGGCCAAGTGTGGAATAGCCTAGTGTGAGTCACCTGCCTTCATCATGAGAAGGCATTCTTGCTACCCTTCACTTTCAAACATGAGTGATCAATCTACCAAACCCCACGGGGCTGTTTTCCTTCTGCACACAGTCACCTGTTGAACCAAAATGCTCTCACAAATCTGTATTGTACCAAGCAGACCCCACCTGGGTATTTCCCCAAGGAGCTGATGATTCAAGGCTTATCGTAGGTTTAGAACAAGGAAGTCATTGGCCTGCTGTCTCTCTAATGTCACCGCAGTATCTGCTACCTTATTGCCGGTGTTTGCTCTGTGTGGGGACTTTGGCCTCTTTGGTCAGTGGGTGGTCACACAGAGACACCTAGACCTCTTGACCTTAGCAGAGTCTAAGGTCTGCAATGGTCTCTGGTTGGGAGATGTGTGTGTGTCTAGAGCAGTTCTCAGCTGTGGGTCATGACCCTTTTGGGAGGTGCATATCAGATATCCTATGATATGTAATTATGATTCATAGCAGTAGCAAAATTACAGTTACAGAGTAGCCACAAAATAATTTTGTGGTTGGGGGGTCCTTACAACATGAGGAACTGTATTAAAGGGCTGCTCACTGTAATGATTCGAAAAGAGACCAAGTGGGTACTTTTTGGGCCCTGCCAAGTTATGTCACTAAGTAAACACCACAAGTAACAGAGCTAGTGTTAGAGGTTTATTGGGGGAGGGGGAAAGAGGGAGGGAACGACAGGTAGGCAGTATCATGGTGGGGGCGTGAGAGAGGCAGACGCAGCAGGAAGAGACAAGTGGAAGAAGAAAGACCGGAGAGGAACAAGAAGCAAGAGAAAGGGGAGTCAAGAGAGCAAGCTGTGCCTGACAGGCCCTTTTAAAGGTTCCCATGTCACATGGCTGACATCGGAAAGGCGCCTGGCGGCAGTGATGACAATGGTCCGCAGAGGCAGACTGCTCCTGCAGAGGGAACTAACTGCAGCCTTAGGGGGGTTGAGAACCACCACACTGGAGGTTTTTCTTTGTCTTCTCCAGACACAAATGGTGCTCTCCAGTGGGGTTCACATCACCGTTTACCTATGTTTAGTGTGTCCTGATTCTAAAAGGATTCCATCCTCACTACTTTCCTGGTGAACTTCAACGAAAACCCCAGGCGGGCACTGTCAACACCAGCAGTACGTCACCCCCGTCAGTAGCCCCTGCTAGGTGCTCCTAAGAGCTTTGATCCGGTTACCCACTCCCTGTAGCTCCCCTCACCTTCTTAGAGCACGGCTTTATGGGGGGCAGTCTTTGTATCCCTGTGCCTGCTGAAGGACTGACTGGGGGAGGGTGCAGCAAAGGCCTCCCAGCTCTCGCCTAAGGAAAGTAAGGAGTTCTGGTGTTTAATGTCAGTATTTAAAGCATGGTGTGAACTGGAGTGGAAACAGCTAAAGATCTCTTCACTTAACCTTACTTCCTGACTGCAAGGCAGGTGGACAGAGGGCTTCATGGAATGAAGCAACGGACAAATAGTTCGGGGGCTTTCAAGACTTATTTAAGAACCAAAAAAAGAGATGGTTTTCTGGCATCTGGCTGCTCAGTAGTGATTGATTACACAGCATTTTGCTCTCTTTCTCTGACACTGAAGTGAGCTTCAGGTATCCCAGGGAGGTCTCTCTTCATCAAAAGCAAAAACAAACAAGCAAGCCAAAAACACCTTTCTGAAATCAGAGTGAGTGTGACAAAAAAAAAGCTGAGCAAAGGGACCCTCTGTGGAAGGCTGAGGGAGGGCAGCTCTATCAGCTAGGGTCCTAGAGAAGGAAGGCGCCTTCTTCCTATTGTCAGGATAAAGATGAAGCTATTTGCCTGATGTTCTTGGCAGAAGCCTTTGAGAGGCCACAGCCATGTACAATCCCTCGCCTGCTGTGAGCCTCCTCTCCCCTTAGCCCACCCAGCTTAGTTGTTGCCTAAGATGGTGTCAGAAGAAATGGCATCATTTTTCTGACTCCACTTTCAAGTTACTGGTTTTGTTCTGTGAGGAGACAAAGTGTTTAAGGGAAAGTAGGTACGTGCACTTGCCTTTCAGCAGCCTGGAAGCCCCGCCGTTTCCTCTTCCATGTAAACGATATGTGAGCATTCTCTGTGAGCATTCTCCGTGAGCATTCTCTGGGTGGTACTGAAGTCAGCTTCCTGTATATATTTACATGTATTATGGAGACAAGACGGTGGGTTTTTTCCACCTAAACTCTCAGAGGGCATCCCAGAAACAAAGGCTGCTGAAGAGAGAGTCAGAGAATCCAGTTCATACTGGGTCACCCCAGAACCCTGAGTGTCTGAATGAGTTCCTGTGGGGAATTTAGGTTAAGTAACGCAGGTACAAATACAAGATGCAGGTCGTGTGTGGAATTGTGCTGCCGTCCAGTGAAGAAGCGCTGGGGGTTAACAATGAAGAAGGAACAACCATGGGCTTTGGAGGAGACACAGCACTCAGGAAATGAGGCGTTGGGGCTGAAGTGAATCTCAGTTTGGCTGGTTTTGTCCTGCATACCGAAGAACCTGGGCCACCAGGAGGTGTCTTACTAACAGTGGCAAGCTTTGTATCCATTTGTGGAAAAATAAAAAGCCTGGAAAAACAGGAGATTCTCTACTAATAAGGTGTTGATTTATACAATCCTAGAGGTTTCTAATTGAATGTAAAATTCTGGAGCTAGACAGTGGTACAAACTGTAATCTCAGCTGTTCAGGAAGCAGAAGCAGGAGGATTGCAGTGAGTTCACAGGTCAGGCTGGGTGACTTAGGCTCCTTCTCAAAATATAAAATATAAGCGGGCTTGGGGGTAAAGCCCTTGCCTAGTGTGCATGAGGCTGTTAGTTCAATCCCAGGGCCAATAAAATAAAATTTAAAAGTTCTTAACATTTAAAATCAAAGCTACAAGGATAATCGTTCAGCTTTTAAAAAGAAACTTACCTTCTTAAAGGAGAATCCTCTCCTCTCCATGGGGTGAACCAGCCTACCAGTAGGAGCTGTAACAAAAACCTGTGATTCTGTGTTTAAGCCTTGAGCAGAGTTGGAGGAGCAACACAGAACCGTCCTGGCAGATAGGACAGGCCGGTGCTGGTTCACCACCATCAGTTGCCATCAGTCGCGGGAAGTCAGTGTGTGCAAAGGGATCGGAGTCCCGGCTCGGGGTCCTCCAGGCAGGGGAGGACACTGACAACTCCAGGCAGGAATGCGCCTGTAGATGTGACATGTCACCTGGCAAGCTGTGGCACCTGTGAGTCTGTGTCCTGAAGCCGCAGCTCTGCGCGGCTCCCGTGGGAACGGAGCACGGTGACACTGCCCCTCACGATCTGCAACCAGCTGGCTGAGAATCGTGTTCCAGGTGGGATGTGGAAAATAGTGACCACCTACCTACACATGCCTGGCTCCGGGCCTAGAGCCATATCCCTACCTCTCATTCAGCATGGAGATGTAGCGTTGGGAGTTCTGTCTTCACTGTTTATCAGGAGTAAAGCTGGAGCTCAAAGTTTTAAAAAAGAAATAGGAAAAACCGATTTCACCATTGTTGAAAGAGAGTGATTTGAAGCTCGATGATGGTGGTGCACACCTTTAATCCCAACACTCAGGAAGCAGAGGCAGATGGATCTCTGTGAGTTCAAGGCCAGCTGGTCTATAGCGCGAGTTTCAGGGCAATCAAGGCTACACAGAGAAACTCTGCCTCAGAAAAACCAGAAAGAGAGAGGAAGATACACACAGAGAGAGATTTATTTTCAAAGAGGGCCATCCCCATAAAGGGCCTCTGGTCCTGGTCCGTACCTCTTCCTCCTGCCCTGTACCCACCCCCTTCCATCTTCCTGGGGGCTCATCACCCGCCTTACCTTAGGGGCCCTGGGTGGGCTTAACTCATGCAATAAACAGTATTTGCTGAAAATAATTGATACCTCATTCTCTGTTCCAAGTACTTTTATCTCTGTGTGCTGTTCCTCTAATCACGGGAGATCTGGGCAGTGGTAACCAGAGAGGGATCCACGGTTTAAGGAAATCAACCAACATCTCGTTGGGAATTTATTCATGAAGGATGCTATGAGAGAAAACAGCAAGGGGAGCCGTCTGTGGCCTGAGGAAGGAGTAGGGGCCCTCTGAAGAGGCAAGTTTGAGTTAATTTGAGGAAGACAAAGAACCATGGGAAATGGTGACGAGGGCAGGTGAGGCAACAGAGAAGCTAGGACAAAAGCCTTGAGGCAGGTCAGGTAGCGGCTTGTTCTGTGAGTGAGGGCAGGTGATGAGCAAGGCCACAGAAGACGGCAGGGACCCGATCCTGAGGCCCCAGCAGTTAGGATTTTACACCAAATCGCCCTGTTGGCAAAGCAGCATGCTGTCACGGAACCCAGTCTTCAAAGGTCTCTCTTGAAATAACCGTTCCGTGCCAAGTGGATCTAAGGAAGGCAGGGGTGAGAGCGGGCGCCCGTGGTGGGGCAGAGGTGTACGTTGCCGTGGTTCTGAAGAGTAGAGCTCGTGACTAGAAGGGGATGCTGGGCCCGCCATGGAAGTATGCAGAAATGGGCAGCCTCATGATCTGCTCCAAGTTCAAGCCCAAGGTTCTTTAAAGCACAAAGAATCAGAAGGAGCAAGGAAGCCACCGTGGCTAGTTTCCAGGCCATTTCCTCAGGTGTGCGCTTTCTCTCCGATACCGTGTTCACAGGGCTCTCCCTTTTAGCCGGTTGACATGAAGCTCAGGTGCCTGGGTCTGTCTGGGTTCTGAATGAAGAGTGTGGTCAGGATTCTGACAGGGCATTTCCTGTTTATCTTGCAGCCCACTAGGACCTCCTCTGAAAGCATTTATTCTAGACCAGGCTCCAGCATCCCTGGCTCACCGGGCCATACCATCTATGTAAGTATCACTTCCAGAAGGGACATTTTGGGAGCAGGTGAGTTCGAGGATTGGAATAGCAGGATAGAGAGTCCAAGGAAGGAAGCTGATCTGTAGGGATCTCTGCTCCTGTTAGAAGATCCCCATTTCCCTCTGTCGTTCAGGCATCTCTCATGCTTCCTTCAGTAATTCAGTCTAGGATCTTCGTATTGAAGGAAGACCCGAGAGGACAGTTACATGCTCTAGGGGCTAAAAGATTGCTGCACCTAACACTGTGTAGATACTGGAGATTTTGGAGATTGAATGTACATTTTATAATGCCGCTTCCAGTGTTCTTAAAGTCTGCTGCAAAAGTATTTGCAAGTTTATTTATTTAACATGTAGTTACTTGTATTTATCAATCTTTAAGGATTAATTGACCATCTGCTTGAGATTTTTTCCCCTCTCTGTAATAAACTTAGGAGACTATTCTGAAGATTGACAAATTCTACAACCCCCTTTCTTAGTCTTTGATGATTATTTTTAAGTGTGATCAATAGAGGCATCAGTGGGCCCCTTCCTAAAGTATGTGGCATCACTCAACAAGGCGTTTGGTTTGTTTTAAGGGTCACATTTTAAACGAGGCATAACGAGCACTGAGGATGATTTCTCAACGAGCTAAAATAGAGGATTAACTTCTCTCTGTGTTTAACTCTGCCAGGCAAAAGTAGACAATGAAATACTGGACTACAAAGATTTAGCAGCCATTCCCAAGGTCAAGGCAATCTATGATATCGAGCGTCCAGACCTCATTACCTACGAACCGTTCTACACTTCGGGCTACGAGGACAAGCAGGAGAGACAGAGCCTTGGAGAGGTAATGGGTTCTTTGGATACTCGGACCCATCCCATAACCCTTGTGTCTTGCCAGCTGGCTCCCAATAATGACACAGAGGCTTTTTATTAATTATGAAAGCTTGGCCTTTAGCTTAGGCTGGTTTTTAACTAGCTCATATAACTTAAATTAACCCTTATTTTTTAATTAATCTACATTCTACTGCATGGCTTTTGCCACTACCCGATTCTGTGGGTCTCACTATTCCTTTCTCTCTTGCCTCTACTTTCACCTCCCACTTTCTCTCTCCCTGCCCAGAAGTCCCGCCTATACCTCCTGCCTAGCTATTGGCTGTTCCGCTCTTTATTAAACCTAGATTCAGTTTGCAAGATCCTAATGGAGTGGGTATGTGGAGAGGGGGCACTATGGTAGCAGGGGTTCCTAGAACCAGTTCCTGGAGTTCAGCCTACGGTATCACCACAGGCTGATGTCACAGACTTTGTCCTGTGACAATCATTACGATCCCAGGTTCTCATCAGGAAAACAGAATAACGGTAGACAGCTCCTCGTAGTCATCTGTCTATATGGATTAAAGAAACTAAGAGCAGTGGGCAGAGGGGCAGACCAGCACAGGTGAGGCGCACGCTCCTGGCTGTGACCATTGCTGTGGCCGTTTTCTGAGGCCCCTGCCCTTCTGCTGGGCCAGAGCCCTCTGGGGTTGGAGTTCCCTGCGGCCACCTCCCACCCTGATCATGTTCTGTTTCTTTCGGCCCCTTCAAAATTTGTTCTAATTTTCCCTTTGTTTATTTCTATTGTTATTATTACAGCGTGAACAGGTGATCAGACACATGCTTTCCCAGAGCGTGACGCTCGTGTCCTGCCTCTATTTTATTTGTTATTTAAATTGGGGTCATCTGTAGCCTGATTGGACTCCATTCAGAGATATTACCAAATAGTGAACTTAACTTGGCCCTTCAGTCAAGAGTAAACCAGACTGCAGTCTATCCTACCGTGCTCCTGTGTTTACATGAGATGAACGAAGGGCCTTTGGGGCACCCAGCAGGAGGGTCATATAAAATCCTGTCTCAGCACCTCTCCCCAAAAGGCATGAAAATGTGGTAACTGGATTGTTTATTTCCAGTAGTGCACATTAGTACTTATTGTTTTATGATAATTTTATGTATTTGTAATTATATAATATTCCTTTTATTTGCTTATTTCTTTGATATTTCTTTTATTTGCTTATTGCCTGATGGTTCCCCCCCCCCCAGTCTGGCAAGAAGGGGCAAACACTCATATAGTGCCACCTGGTGGTTCACTTACTGTACTGCATCTGCAGCTGGTGATTGGCCTGGGCTCTTAGTGACCATTGGATCTCAGAATCTCACAGAAGGCCTTGGTCAGGGAAGTTTCCTGAATAAAATACATAAAGATTGGCCTTCGCATGTCAGTGGTCAGGGATTTCCTCAAGTTCAAGGTGTACCCAAGAGGAAACTGCTGTGGGTTTTTTTGTTTGCTTTTGTTTTTTAATGGTGGTAAGGGTACATGTGTGCTGTGTACATATTTGCATGCTGACCTTGGGGGTGATGTGTGTATGTGTGCACATGTATGTGTTGTTGTTGTTATTGTTGTTTTGTGTTGTATTTTTCCAGTATCCCCCTCTAGAGCAGCAAAATACCAAGCAGGAATTTGGCTCTGAAATAAAGCTTGGGCCATTTCAAACCTGGCTGTGACACCCACTAACTCAGAACTTCGGAAGCAAGCTTGGCACCTTTTCCATAAGGAGTGAGGGCTTTAGTTGGTCTAAATGGACATGTGACAGTGATGCTCAGCGTCCCGCCAATTCTCACGCTCCACCCTGCTGTACGCTGATCTACCACGGTGGCCTGTGGCTTTCTTTGTACATAGAGGATGCCCCTTTGGGACAGAAATGAACTCCCTTTGGATGCATGGATCTCACCACTGAATAGACATTACGGTCTATTATTTGTTCCATTAGTTATTACCCTTATTTTGTAAACTTACACGTTATTTTAAAGACCCAGAAGGGATCAGGAGGTAGCTCAGGTGGTGACGTGCTTGCCACAGAGCTCAATTCTCAGGACCCACGTAAAAGCGCTGAGCTTGGCAGCATGTGCCTGTTATCCTGGTGCTGGGAGGTGGGGGACAAGGATTCCTGGGGTGTGCTGTCTGGCAAGTGTGAATTGTGAGCCTGCTTGTCCAGTGAGGGAACTGTCACAAAAAATAAAGCAATTGACAAAGACACTTGACACTTACCTCTAGCCTACGCACATGCACACACACGCACGTGCACACACACGCGCACATGTGCGCACACATAGAGTGAACTTAAAATTAGCACATTTTGAAGGTCCGTGAGTGGTGAGTGGGTAGGTCAAGGAGCCCACCACTGGCAAGTTCATAGCCAGCTTCTGCTCCCAAGGGAGGTCATCCTTACCCAACAAAGCTCTGAGCTCTGAACATAGGCTGTAGCTCCTGAGGAATAAGGTAACCTGTCATCTTACTAATATGTGGAAAGGAGCAAACCCTAAAAGCAAGAGGCGTTCCATGCTGCCCTTGCTTGGCTGAGTCTTCTAAAATTCTGTCTATAGCTCTCCGTGAAAGGCTTCTGTATTTCAACTGTAAAAATTCCACTCACTCCAAAAACCATCCTCGAGCCCCTGATACAACTTCCCTTGTCACTGGGGACACATGATGAAAACAGAGTCAAGCAGGGCAGTCAGCAAAGGAGCAGAAACAGTGACATGTTCTGAAAGTTCAGTGAGGACAGTGTGAATGGGAATCATGGGAAGTTAGTTCAGTGACGGGCAGTGTGAACAGGGATCACAGGAAGTTAGTTCAGTGAAGGGCAGTGTGACCAAGGATCACAGGAAGTTAGTTCAGTGAAGGGCAGTGTGAACAGGAAGTTAGTTCAGTGAAGGGCGGTGTGAACAGGGATCACAGGAACATAGTTCAGTGAAGGGCAGTGTGAACAGGGATCACGGGAAGTTAGTTCAGTAAAGGGCGGTGTGAACAGGGACCACAGGAATGTAGTTCAGTGAAGGGCAGTATGAACAGGGATCACAGAACCTTAGTTCAGTGAAGGGCAGTGTGAACAGGGATCACAGGAACTTAGTTCAGTGAAGGGCACTATAAACAGGGATCATGGGACATTAGTTCAGTGAAGGGCAGTGTGAACAGATATCATGGGAAGTGAGTTCAGTGAAGGGCAGTGTGAACAGGGATCACAGGAACTTAGTTCAGTGAAGGAAAGTGTGAATGGGGATCACAGAAAGTGTGAGGTGAGTTTGAACCTAGACCTCGCTGGAGCTGAGTGGGCTCTGCAGGCCTCTAAAAAGTGCTGGCAGCAGAGGAGACACCAGTATAAAAGTCCTGGGGTGACAACCCAAAGTGACAGGCACTGGAGGGTATGTTTGTGAGGGGTCATCACATACTGATAGAACCATCTTACATCACTGCTGTGGCTCTGAATTAGTTCAAGCCATACTAACAAAACCCTACATTTCCTTGGCTGTCCTAACACAGAGGAATATCATAAACACAACTAATATGTAAGGAAATAGTTGCAGCTGGTTCTACAGCGTATTCATCAATGCCGTGGTCCTTCGGCAGAAACATCCCTGCATCTCCTAGGACTTGGCTGGAGTTTCCCACCAACCCCGCTGTCCACCTAAACCAGCAGCAGATGCTGGTCTGTGTTTGGAGTGTTGTTTTTAGCTCTCTTCAATGACTAGCTCCATCAGAACTGGTAGGACGTTAACCAAGGCGTTGACTGTAAACTCTCTCTTGTTCTTCTAGTCTCCAAGGACTTTGTCTCCTACTCCATCAGCAGAAGTAAGTATCATTTTGGCCATATTTAGGGGTGGAATTGAAAGTGGCTTGAACCTTGTCTACCCTTGAGTTTTTGAGACGTACATAGGTCCTAAAAGACAGCAGAATTGATTACAAGGATTAAGGTTTCCTTTACACACAAACTGGGACCAGATGACAACAGCACACTTTGAAGGGGGACACAAGAGAGTAACAGTGGCCTCCTGATGATTGACAAGCACTCCACCAACTGAGGGACACAGCAGCCTTCCTGGATACTTTTTTTTTTTTAATCAAACTTGACAAATCTCGTGGGGTGCTCTGCAATCTGAGATGGTGGAAAAGTCCATGGCATTTTCGTGTTTGTGACTGAGTGCCGTAAACAGTGCTTCCCCAAGCCCCCCCATGCCCCCCCCCAAATTTACAGCCTTTCTATCTATAAAGTATTTGCATTTGGCTAGCTTCACACTGGCTGCCGTCCTCTGGGAGAGTCGGTTGGTATTTTGTTGCACCAAGCGGGATGACTCTGCTTCCTTGTTGCTCACAGAGCCGGGCTGAGTGTTAATGTGGTCACTCCCCACGTGTCCTTTCAAATTCCTGTTGTGTTGTGCCAAGCAGGAAGTTCCCGAGGTGGAAAACACTGTTTATATCGTCCAGGTCGTTTGTCTAGTTTGTTCTTGTTCTTACCGTTTTGCATCTTTGTGCAGATGGGTACTTTTGTGTCTGTGCCTAGTGCATCCTCTCCTGAACCTGGACATAGGAAATCTCCCAGGAGGACTGTTGCGGTAGATAAAGTGATGTGCTCTATTCTTTTCCTTATGCTCCAGTTTGTTAAGCACATAACAAAAGTTTGCCCTCATGGTGTCATAAAGGGCACAGCTATTTCCTTAAGACTTGGTTCCCAGACTGAAAAGTGTTAATAGTCTTGGGCCACCCCTTGTTCTTCAGGAACATTAACTTCAGATGTCCCCAGAGCAGTCTTAGACACCGTGTGGCTCAGAGGTCACACAAAAGCTTAGGGTCAGGGCCTTGGTTCTGAAGTAAATTCTGTTTGTATCTACTACAAGCCATGTCCATGACTTGCTGGGACCCTGTGTCACCATCACAAGAGGGTTTAGGTAAACCATAGGATCGGCCATCCTTTGTCGCTGTTTGCAGATCTCTTTGGGGTCGTTTTCCAGTTTCTGTGATAAAATACCCAGGAGAAGCAGTGGAAGGAAGTGTAAGGGGGGAGGGGAAAGGGAGATGGTGGGAGGGAGGGGGAAGGAAGGAAGTGGGAAGGGGAGAGGAGGGAAGGGGGGCTGATTTTATTTGAGGATACAGTCCATCAAGCTGGGCACAGCATAGCTGCAAGAACTTGAGGCAGCTGGTCACATGACAGCCTCAGGAAGCAGAGAAAGATTAATGCTGGTGCCCCGCTCCCTGTCTCATTCCCATCCAGTCTACCCCTGCCCATGGAACAGTGCCACCCGCATTGGGGATCCTTCCCAGTTAAATCTTCCTAGAAACACTCTTATAGACCCCCACAGAGATGTGTTTGCCATGGTGATTCTAAATTCTGTCAAGTTGACAGCGAAGACAAACTGTCATGGAATCTGATGAGGGGACACCTGGGGAGGAGGACACCTGGGAAGGGGGACACCTGGAGAGGAGGACACCTGGGGAGGGGGACACCTGGGGAGGAGGACATCTGGGGAGGGGGACACTTAGGGAGGGGGACACCTGGGGAGGGGGACACCTGGGGAGGGAGATCCTGGAGAGGGAGGTACCTGAGAAGGGGGAACACCTTATAAACCCTAAAATCGCAGTACCAATGTGATTGTGGGGTTCTTTTCCTAGCACTTCGGCACTGTTGGCATTTATAGACTTGTATACCTTAAATTTTAACAACTGCAGTGACTGTTGATTGTGAGCAAAGCACATTAGCCTGGCGTATCCATGTCCTTGAATATTACTGACTATAACACTGTAAAGTGGCACAGACCCTGAGAGGCAATCCCTCAGCCTTCTCTGTGGACTGTGTTTTACTTAGAAATGTCCAATAATCATGGGAAGGTGTTTTATCTCACACTTTCTCTAACTTGGTTGCAGGGATACCAGGATGGTCGGGATCGGATGATCCACCGGTCCACCAGCCAGGGCTCCATCAACTCCCCCGTGTACAGTCGTCATAGTTACACTCCAACCACGTCACGCTCACCGCAGCATTTCCACAGACCTGGTAAGGCCACCCTTCCCGAGATTTGTTACATACTGAATGTGTATCTGTGTGAATTTAGGTACATACTGAAAGTGTATCTGTGTGAATTTAGTTACAAACTGAAAGTGTATCTGTAGGGATTTCTCTTCATACCATTGGTAGCATCTAAAAAACCTCACTTAAATATTTCTAACCCTCTTGAAGACCAAAATGAAAACTGGTGTCCATCTTTATTTGTGTTGTGTCTTAGACAAATCAGTCATTCTATCAGTGTGTTCACTGTGAATTATTAAATTACATTCTGATATTGCCCTGCTGAGAACAAAGGATATTTGTGAAGAACTGATGAAAAATCATCCCTACAAAACTTAAAAGATCTCTGAAAGAAAATATTTTCCTTTTTCTTTTTATCTGCATCATAAAGTTCAATATTAACCATTGCTTGGAAAGTTTAGAATCCTTGCCTGTTATACAATGTCATGGTGAGTGCACGGTCAGCCCTTTCTCGAGGGAAGCCTGAAGGTTCCATTAGTCAACTTTAAGATTCATTCTAAACCCTCAGAGTTGAAGTCAAACTTGGGCAACCTGGAAGCCTCGGGAATGGAGTGGCCATGCTGGGGCAGCAGATGGTGGGCTCCCTTCTTCAGAGGTGTCGGTTTCTGTGTCTATGAGGGGAGGTCTTGTGTGTGAGCAGAAGAATGGAAGCCCCAGCAGAGAACCAGAGTACTCAGAGAAAGAGGCATCTAAGAGAACCTGCGATCCTATGTATCTAGAGCACCCCATCTCAGGCTGAGAACATGCCTAGGATGTATCTAGAGGACTCTGTCTTAAGCTGAGAACCTAAGATACTATGTATCTAGAAGACTCCATTTCAAGCTTCTTGCTGCTATTGAGAGTAAGCATATCCAAATGCTAACTTTTAAATAAGATACACAAGAATTAAAACCAACAGGAATGGTCATACCATAGAAAGGCTGCAATCTTCTCTTCACGGTCATAGACGTAACTCATCCAGAGGACTGAAACCTACTGGATCCTTCCAGAATAGATCAGTTTCTCCAGAAAAGGTTGGGGTTGTGACTGTGTAAGGTGCTTGCCTACCATGTGTAAGGTCCTGACTCAATTCAGTATTTCTCTCTCTCTCTCTCTCTCTCTCTCTCTCTCTCTCTCTCTCTCTCTCTCTCTCTCTCACACACACACACACACACACACACACACACGGACAAGCAAATTTTTTAATATTTTTAAAATTATGTGGAATGAATGTTTTCAGCATGTTACTTTTTTGGTATATAACTATAGACGTTTTATTTGTACCTGACCATGAGATTTTATTTAATCTTTTGGTAATTTGAAATCATTTTGCTGCTACTGTACGTATAACATGCTGATACTACTAAGCCCTGCCCTGACATTGTCAGAGTGGCCTGTGACAACCCGGAAATTGTCCTTTGAAAATATCTCATATAGTAAGGGAATGGCCACGGAGCATAGTTCTTCCCCTAAAAGACCCTGTCCCTGGTGAGCAGGAGGGAGCTTTGCCTGTTTTAGTCATAGTTTCGATGCCACAGCCTCCAGAACATTCTCTCCTTCCTCTCCCAGTAGCACACATGTCCAAGACACCAAGCATTCAGCGTTAAAATGTTTTTGTTGCCTAGAAGTGAAACCAATAACATATTTATGTATCCGTGGAGCAACCAAGTGTCCACCCTGTACGTTCTGGATGCCAGATGATGTTCTAATTCCCCGAGTCTGGGATTGAGTTTTGATGGTCTATTCTCCTTCCAAGCCACTGGACTCCTGCCTCCAGGTCCCCACTACTGCCAGCATCCTGGGTAACTCTGCCCACCCAGCTAATACAACATGGATTTCCTCAGGCAAAAGGAATATAAAATAAAATGTGATTTCCAGTATGATAAGCCTGTGGCTTAAAAAAAAAGAAAACAACAACAACAACAAAAAGCAAAACATGACTCTGACATATTGGTATGTCTCTTCGAGACTCTTGAAATGATTGCCGTCTGTTTACATGGGTTTCTGACGGTCATTTTGTTGAAGCAGCGGTTGAGTCTATGTGATGTGCTCAGTCCTAACACTGTGTAGTTGGCATTATCATGCCAGTGTCTCAGAGACCATGTTCAACAAGCCGTTTATTCTCAGAGAGTGACGCTGTGTCCAGCTGAGCCAGTCTGCAGATTCTGCCCTCTGCCTAGCCCTCCACAGGGGCATTCCTAACCCTCTGTCTGTCCTTGCTCCTTTGTCCAGATTTCTGACTAATGCTCTTCACTCCTCCCCCACCCCGGGCGCCTGCCCTGCTCCTGTGTTAATTTCTTCCTTCTTTTCTGTTTTCACCTCGCCCTGCCCCGATTGGCTGATCCCCTGCTGCTGCACAGAGCTTTTGTCTCCTGGTGTGCACAGGTGGTCCCACCTGCGCCCCAGCAGCTTCAGCTCCACCCACAGTGACTCCCGTCCCAACCCCCCCTTCAGACACCACTTCCTCCCCCATGTCAAAGGTAAGGAGGCAGGGCACTTGGCCTGCATAGCGGAGATTTATTAGCACCCCACAAGGCTAATAAGATGCATCTCCAGGAGTCAGAGCCACTGAGCTTCTGACCCATCCGCATGCCTGCGTGTGTCCCAACTGCCCCCAACTGCAGCCTTCGAACTGGCATGGCATCTCGCGTCCCGAGAGATGTGTCATCTCCAAGAGCTCTGTACTAAGCAATGGGGTGTGTATTTAGGAACTAAGAGCTATCTCCTACCAATTAGAAAAATATATTATTATTTTGTCTTGATATGCGTCAGTGGCAAAATATAATATATAACCAGGTGTTTTCTTGGGTTTCATTTGTGATATGTTTCTGTAAAACACAGCAGTACTGAGTAACACATAATGAAGTCGTCTTCACTGTGAGAAGAACCGTGTGTGGACGGCGTAGCTTCTCCCTCTGAGGCACCTGACTCTGAGTGCTTCGCTTTTGATTGTCCTCACTAGTTTCTGAGGTGGATAAGACAGGCAGGCTCTGCCTCCTTTTTCCCGTTCCCTGCCTGGCGTTTCTCCCCTCTACTCCCTGTGTTTCTCTCTGGCTGTTTGCTTCCTTGTTGTGTATGGTTCTGTAGAATCCTTTGCCCAGAACTTTCCACCTGGAGGACCTGAGAGCCACCATTTAGGTAAAGGATCCCCAGAAGGATGCTAACTTGTTGTGCTGCCTTGATTTGGACCACATGAGCCAACAGAAGCAGTGCAAGGAGGGGGAGGCAAGTGTGGAGGTTGTTGTGGATCTGAAAGTGGCCTTCAGGGCTTCTATGAGTCCCAGGTGTTCACAGCGACTGTGCTGTATCTGCCGAGGATCTGGGACACTTCTCCAGCCCCGACACTCACTGTCAGTCTACCCAAGCTTAGCCAGCATGGCCTCCTGAAATGCAGATGTACTAGGAACTGTGTGTGCAATTATCACACACATTTGCTGCCTCAGCATTTTCCATGTTTTGCAAATGATACAGCCAGGGGCCTAGAAAGGTACATCAGTGGTTAAACCCATTTTCTGCTCTTGCAGAGGACCTGGGTTAAGCACCCTCATGGTGGTTCACAACCAATTGTAGGGGTTTCTGGTGCCCTCTTTTTGTCTCTCCAGGTACTGCATGCACATGGGACAAATACATGCAGACAAACACTCATGCACAAAAAAATTAGTTGGTGCTGTTTTTAAAGAAAATAATATGACCGGCATATGATGAAGCTAGATACCATTTACCATTAGCAAAACTTCTGGGGTAGGCACAGAACGTTCCAGAAGTCTTGACTGGCTATTTAAAACTGTTATTGATAATTAGTATTGTAATACCTGGCATCCGTCTTTGGAAGCCCCCTCCCCCTGAGAATAATCTTAAGACTAGCCTCTCTGACACAAATAATTCCAGTCAGACCAAATTAGACAGAATAAAAGATGCCCACGTTTAAAGCATGGTGAGGGGGAGAGAGCAGGGGAAACCACGCAAAACCCAGAGACCACGTGTTCCCTTTCTGGGCAGCAGCCTAAGTAGCCTGTGGGAGTGGTCCACTGCTTGGTGGGCTTTCCTGGAGGTGGAGTCCAGACAAAGGCAACTCCCAGAGATGGATGCCGAGTATTAGTACAGTATGAGGTTGTTTTTGTATCTGAGTGCCAGGGTTATATTCTTTAGAATTTTTGTATAGCCATAAAGAAATTACTGAGAAAAAGCTTCCACTATGTCTTTTAATGAGCGCTTCACATAGCAGTCCTTGACCAACCAAAGCAATGGTTTTTATTTTTGACCCATTAAAGGGTAAACTGCTTTGTCTGATCATGATGTGTTTTGGTTTTCAGAGAGATAATGTTTATTAAACAGGCCCTTTTAAATTGCACAGCATGCGTACAAATAACACAACACACTGGGGATTGCATATCCCGGGTCTGGGCACTGCCATGGGGAGCCAGTGGACACTGGCATCTTGGATTTGCATATCTTCCCCGTTGCTTGTAATCTGTGTGACCTTGAATTATCCTCTTGTCCTTGTGAACATTGTCTCATTTATGATCTGGAAGGAGAGGACAAGGACTCTCTCCTGGGTCATTAGGTGTGTGAGGTGAGGTACCTACCGTCAGTGTACAACCATCAGCGTGGTGCTCTCTGAGTACTTTCGTGTAGCTCAGGCTAGCTCCACACTTCTGTGGAGGAATAGATGACCTTGGACCCCTGATCCTTCGGTGTGTGCCTCCAAAACTAGTTTATGTAATACTGGGGCTCAAACCCAGGATGTGGGTGCACTAGGTCAGCATTCTAGAGACTGAGCTCCACCCCACACCCCATTTCTTATTGCCTCATCCCACGTATCTTCAGAGCATCCCTGTGATGGAGGCCTAGTCAGGAGCTAGGAGCTGGGGTCCTGGTGAAGTCATTGACTGGGACTAGGAAGAGGAAGGATCTGAGACAGACACCTCTCTAATCTAGAGGGCAGGCCTCTCTTATCCAGACGCCGGGCCTCTCTTATCCAGACGCCGGGCCTCTCTTATGCAGACGCCGGGCCTCTCTTATCCAGAGGGATTTTTCCAGATTAGGTGCTCTTGCTTTAGGATAAATCTACATGCACTCTAAATGTTGAAGCATAATTGTATCTTCTACATCTTTTTAACTGAAAATTATGATTATTATTATTATTTGTTTTTTTGAGACAGGGTTTCTCGGTGTGCTCTGTAGACCAAGCTGGCCTTGAACTCATGGAGATCTGCCTTTCTCTGCCTCCTGAGTGCTGGGATTAAAGGAAACATTACATTCTTAGTGAGGCTAATACAAAGACTCATTTCAGTCATTTTAAATAATATAGTTACTAAAATTGTACGAGTTCTGTGAGGCTCAAATGTCAAAATGAAAAATGTGTTTTTTTCTGCTTGAGTCTGAAATTGACATTTTAGATGTAATCAAGTATCATGGGTTTAAATTATAAAAATCACTAAGTCAAGAGGAGTTAGTATGGCCTTGACTTTATAGTTAAACGTATTTAATGCTCTCTCTCTCATTTTTATTAGATATCTGCTAACATTTTGTTTATATGGAATCATCTGTATAATTCATATATAAGTTTACCCTCAGGTTTTAGATCAGATGAGCTTTTTAACTAATCTAAAAAGTAAATCATGGACTATGTGTTCAAGGACATTTAACTTTTAAAGATGAGTGTGAGTGGCTAAATACAGCTTCTCCCATGAACTGCTTCTCAGCTATTTTACAAAGCATGCATCGAGTTACATAGGAAGCATTTACAGCCCGCGAGGGCTTCAGAGTGGAGGAAGCTTGGCTGCACCACAGATGGCTTTCAAATGGGACATTGTCTTATTTTGCATTTAATTTTTGTTTCCCTTTTTGAGACAGGATCTCACTCAGTAGCCCATGCTGGCCTGGAGCCCTTCTGTAGCCCAGGCTTGCCTCAGCATCCTCAGGGCTGGGGTTGTAGGCAGTGAGCCACCATGCATAGCTTGGTGTTATTTTTGATCTTGGCACTTAGCTGGCCACAATGGCGGTTTCTGTTTTAATAAGTATGCATCAAGGAACATAACTCAGAGAAGGTTGTCCATCCCAGAAACACATAGATAGAAATAGAAGAGGCCCTTGTCACTCCAGAAGAAGGAGCCCAGCCTTCTGCTGGCCAAGTGCTCCTGGTCTTCCTTTCTGATGCCTGAAGCCCAGGCCCCTGGGGATCACTGAGCTGGAGATGCTGGTTTAAAACCAGCAGGCTCCTCCCAGGCTATCTCTGCCTCACTGGTTTCCCCAATGTTTTCTATAACGAAGTCCGGTATTCTCTGAAAGAGCCTTTCTCCTTTGTTCTCCGGCCTTGCAGCTTCATTGTGTTGGGAAGTCCTGGCTGGGCCATGCAGACAGTGTCAGCCTGGAGATTTGCTGAAACCCCCGAGCTTCGCTGAGTTTCTCCTCTCCCGTCCCCTTTGTAAACCACTTAGACATCACATCCATATCCGGGAGGCAAAGACACGGTTGTGAGTGGGAAGGAGGCTACATCGATCGAAGGCCCTTTGAAAGGAATCCTTCTTGTTCTGCCTAGGTAGTGCTGCTGGGAGCTGAACACACACTAAACATTTCCTGAAAAGAATCTAATCCTTACTGAGGGTTTAGATGAGAGCGGGCCATCTTGACACAGGCACAGAGTCCTAGAGGCTACCAACACTGAGCCCCTCCCAGAAAGACGGCAGAGTTTAGAATATGAGCAAGCACCCTGGGAGCCAGGCAGCGCTCCAGCACCTTCTCCAGCACCGTGTTTACCCTTTACAATTATAGTCATCAAGGTTCTCGTGGCAAAAAAAAAAAAGAAAGAAAGAAAGAAAGAAAGAAAAAGAAAAGGAGGGAAATAAATCTCTGAATTAAGTATAGTGCGGATCCTGTAGGTGAGCTGTCTCCCAGGGGTCGGCTCTTCAGGCTGGCAAGGAGATGCCAAGAGTGAAGGATGAGGACTGTCAGGGCGGTGGTCTGACCCCAAGCAAAAGAGACGACGTGAAAGGAAGCAAAGATGGCAGCTTCCGTCCTGCTCGTGGCTGCTTTGTAGGCTCAGATGAGGAGTCGATGCCTTTTAGGAATCATTTTTATCTGCTGTTTTGGACAGTCCTGTGGGGAAGCTTAGGTGATCATAGAGTTAAATTACTCCCAGAGACCTGCGTGTGCTACTAGTGGATTTTGGTGTTGTTTTTAACAACTGAAAAGGGCTGTGGTTGTTGAGGATGCACAACCAAGTCAAGAGCAACCGTGCCGTAACTGGCAACCGTGCCGTAACTGGCTACAGCACTCCCCAGCCCCAGAACCTTATTGGAAAGTGATAGGTTGCTGCTGCCATCTGTCACCAGAGGGTCCTGTGGATGGAGCCTTGGAACTGTTACCTGCCTTCAGCAACCTTCAGCCTCTGCCCAGCATGTATCCGTGTTTCCAATGACCCTGCTTAATCAGTATCGAGATGCGTTTTTTTCTGGACACTCATCTGACCAATTGTGAAAACCCTCTCCTTGTGCTCTGTAAAGACACAAGGGTTACAAGTGGATCCAGGGCAGGGAACAGTGTGCTTCCGAGCTGAGGTGGCTAGATTTCTAAGTTAGAGAGGTGGGGCTTCCCTGTGCCTCCAGTGGAGAAAACCCCTAAGAACCTTCCATTTTCAACCTGTAGCAGTTGCCCAACACTTACAGTATTAAGAGTCCCTCCTGGGGTGAAACCATTAAGTTGGAGGATGAACTGGAATGGAAGAGGTGCAAGGAGACGCCACTGTGACCCCACTGCTGGGGACCAGCATTGCTAAGCCGGGTCAGGCGTAGCTGTAGAAGGAGTAAGTTGGCTGGGATCAGTCCTTCACTCCCAGGCAGTTCGTGAGTGCTCACTCTTGGCCCGGGCGATGAGCTGAGCATTGGTGAGAATGGAGGAGGGTCCGTTCTAGTTCAGCTGTACATTGACATAGCACTCTGTTTCTAAACACGAGCCCTCTCCTGCCCTTCTCTGCTTCGTCAGACCTGCCGTAGCTGGTGCTTTTTGGGAGAGCAAGATTTCCAAATTTTACTTCTCTCCTCTTTAGGGTGATCTAAAATGTCTCTATGGAGATGCATCTCAAAGCCCTGGTGGTTGACTTCTTTCATATTTTGCTGGTTAGATTTCGGACGCTTAGACTTGAAGAAGTCGTGGCCAAAACTGTTTCCTAACAGTCTATGTAACCTGCTTGAGATAATTATCTCATTGGTTAGAACACTTGGCTAGAATGTGCAAAGGCCCCAAACTTAATCCCAAATTCTAAACAAAAAAAAAAAAAAAATTAAAGTATTTGTACTCCAAGTGAATGAAACAACAGTCTACAAAGTGGTCTAAAAAATTGAAAGTCATGTCCTAGAAGAGATTTCTGGCTTGAATGAAGGCCTCTAGGAACAACTGTGAAAGTCATTCACAGTTATACTTCCGTAGGCGGCCCTCGGTGTTCTGCTGTGTTCCTAGGACATAATGTTTGCTCAGATGCGGGCAGGAGGACAGATTAGGCCAGTAGCTCGTTTCTTTCTGATTTTGCATATGCACTTTCCTGCACTATGGATAGAAAAGGAGGATGTGTGTGTGTTTGTATCTGTGTGAGTGAGTGTGCATGTGTGCCTGCACTTGCGGATCTGCAGTTAAGCTCCAGCCCTCCACAACTGTGGGTCATGTCTCCACTATGGGCACACCCCAGATAGTGTCTCCACTATGGGCACACCCCGTGGGTCGTGTCTTCGCTATGGACAGTCTTCAGTGCTGTAGTCTCAGCACACTCTAGTTTGTGATGGCCTAGGTCTCTAGCTGGTTGCCTTCTAGCTCCCCTGGGTCCCTTCTCTCTGAGGCTGTGCTCCAAGGAACTTCTTAAGAACTGCGCCTCCTTCCTGAGCTTGTACATCAGTCCTCTGAGTGAGCAGGTGCGCAGTGTAGCGGTACCATGGTAGGGAGACCCGAGAAGCCGAGGCAGAAGCTATCTCCTTCCTGGGTTTGCACGAGCCACAGGGTTCAATTAGAATATTAGGGATCGAAGTCCTAGCCAGGAGGAGCCTCATCTTGGAAGAGAACACAAATATTCCCAGGGTATCTGACAGAAGGGCCTATCTGAAATCTGTCGATTCAGAGCAAGGCAAACAGAAACATACGCTGTAATGAAAGCATTTTACACTGTGAGGGGAAGGACCGGGTGACCACTGAGGCGCCCAGCCTTAGCCTCAAGTTAAGAGAAACACACTCTAGTGGCCAGCCTCTGCCATTGTGCCTGGAAGGACCTGGGGCCTGCAGGTCCCACTCACCCACATGCTTGGGACTTAAGCATCTGATGCCCGGCCCTGGCCCTTCCTCCCACACACTCACCACCTCATCGGTTTGCCGAGCTCACGGCCTCCGCTGCATGCATTGAATGCTGCTGCATCCCTGACTGCTGGCTGCTTTGAACCTGGTCCTACCTGAGCTCCAATCTCCCCCTTGGAAAACTAAACCCAAGGCCACTTTTGCGAGCCAAGTTGACAAACTGAGTTTATTTCCTTTGTTTTGCCGTTCTGACACTGCCCCGCCTCCAGCCTGTTGTGATGAATTTTGGTACGCTTGCTCGGTTTCCCTTATGGCTCTCCCCTCTCTCATTCTGTTTTCTCCGTTCTTCTCCTTGGAGGCAATGAGCCGTCCAGCGGCCGGAGCTCCCCTCTCCCTTACAGGCCCGACGGTCGCCCTCTAACTCCAACTTACGCTCAGGCCCCTAAACATTTCCATGTTCCAGGTAGGAGCTGACACGCGTGTCTCGGTGTCCTGTCACGGTGTAGAATGTAGCTGTGTAATCTCGTCTGTCTCCATCTCTCATGTTCCTTCATCAAGATATACACAATCAGCAAACACTAAATTGCAGGATCTGGCCTTCTGAACGATCAGATTCAAAATTGGTGGGCCTAAAATTGAAGGCCTAAGTTTTCAATTAAAAACAGTTTCTTTTTTTCAGGGGATTAAACCTGGGGCCTTGTACGTGCCGTACGAGTGCTCGTCCACTGAGCCACTCACCCAGCCCTCGCGTGTCCTTACAGAGATTGTGAAGGGAGTGGGAGGCAGAGAGGGTGAAGACCAACAAGAAGGGTTGGGTTTCCCTCCCCTCAAATTGTGGTTCGCTGCATTAACAAATTAACCTAAGAGCCGTCTCACTAGCTTCTCCTCCTAAAGACTGAACCACAGCGTCACCTCCTTCAGAGTTGTAACACTGGATCAGCTAGGCGGTGTTTCTGTAGTGAGCAGATCGGCTGCACAGCCTGCCACAATATCTTGCAATTTAGGCTTGGCACTGCAAGCTTTGCCCTGGTAGTCACGGTGCTAACCACCACAGCTCAAATATAACTCACCATCAGAAATGGGAAAACCAGCCAGGCACAGTGGCCCACGCCTTTGAGCCTAGCACTTGGGAGGTGGAGGCCAGACTGACCGTCAGAGTGAGTTTCAGGACAGCCAGGGCTACACAGAGAAACCCTGTCTCTAAAAACAAAGCAAAACAAATCAAAAACTGGAAACCCAGAGCCTGTCACTCTCCTGACAGTCAGGTCAGCTCAGTCCGTAAGAATGACCAGCCTTCTGCGGCCACCAGAAGTTTCATAAATTACCCTAGACTAGGTTCCTATAACTGTGCCTACCTGGAATTTCTGTTCATTTCTTTTCTTTAAAGTCTGAAATTACCCAGCAAATCAGGAAGGTACAGTAAGATTGGAAACATTTAGCTAGAACTTTCTTTACAATTTATTTTTCATTAATCTTGAAAACTATTATATACATTCGAAGTTTTTTTTTTTAATATGAAGAATTCCCCACCAACGTACAGTACCTTAGACAATGGGGGAACAGAGGGGACTTTGGAAATATCTGAACATTTTTAGTCGAAGTGAAATGGCGTAACCAGACCGAGTCTCTTCAGACATGTGGATAGCGTTTTGTTCTGCTTTTCCCTTTCCTCTCTCGCCTCTCAGCACAAATTTGGCTTGTCTGGATTAGGACTTTGTTGATCATCCAAGTGTTGCTGCCCACATCGCTTCCCATTGTGCCTGTCATTAGCTGAAATCATAAATTGAGCCACCGGTAGTAACTCCTGGCTGCTCAATTTCTTGACAGTAGCGATTTGGGGGTTGCTTGTCCCCAAACTGGTTACGTCTGTCTTCCGTCTCCACTGCGTGCATTGCTTCCCGTCTCGATCCCACCTCCAGTGATGTCTGTGTGTGAAATAAATGGCTCGTGAGCGAGCCCTCTGTGCGTGCTGTGATGTGTTACAAAGGCGCCCACATCACTCATGTGTAGACTCGGCTCATTTCTGTTGTCTTTTCTTCCAGTGTGCTCAGTCTTTGTAATACGAAGGTCAGCCGTCTGGGTTACTTTGGTCCACCCTTTGGTTGGCCTGTTGTTTTGTTTTCTTTTTCTCCATCTCTGAGCTGGTTCCCATAATCACACATCTTTGCTTTTCATTTCCACAGATCAAGGGATCAACATTTACCGAAAGCCTCCCATCTACAAACAGCATGGTAACTTAACGCGCTCTCCTCAGCTCTGAAGTGGCTGGCTCGGCTGGGCTCCTCTGTTCTCTCCCAAGGGCTTTCTCAAAGCGGTTAGGGTGGTCAAACTGGGGCACACTACATATTTTACATGCTCTTGTAATCTGACAGGATACGAAAACTGACTTGAAATCCCTGTGCCTGGTACAGAGAATTTAGCTCAGATGGGAAGCTTCTGTCCATTTCGGGCCCTGTCAAACTGTGTGTCACCCTGTCCATAGAAGGGGGAATTGTGGTCGCGCAACAACAAATTGTCTATGACCTTTTCTACACTGCTGAATAATTTAACCAACTTTTAAATAAATTTGCTGAGCTCGCAACTAGTTCAAATAATTAAAGCCAGTAAAACGAACCCCATAGTAGACCGAGCAGCAAGCCTGAGGCAAGCGAAGGGCCCATCCCGTACTACAGAGACAGCTGTGTGGTTCGTGGCGTGGGCATACACCCTCTGTGTTTCTGTGTTCTCGTCCATAAGCACCAGTAATTTAGATAAGTGTGTCTCTTACATGCCTAGAAGCAAGGACTCACCAGGGTGGATTTATTACGGTATTTTCACTTTCTGGGGAGATAGGTCTTTTAAACCCAAGAAATCACAGTATTTTCTGCGAGTTTCATTTTTTTCTCCCACCATTCTCAGGCCTCTCTGGATTTATCTGCCATAAATCTCTGGCTTAGATAGACAGCCCAAACTGGCTTTCCAGTGAATTCTGAAAATTACACATTAATAGTGTTTGGAGATTTGAGGGCTGTTCTCAGAGTCTAGTCAGGAATGAGGAAGAATCCAGATCTCAGCTGAAAAGAAGTGAGAAAAAACTTCCAGGCCAGCATTGTAGGGAGGGGAAGAGTGTGTTTTGTTTGGTTTTCCTTTTCCTTTTTATTTCGAGGTTTTACATCCTGTGCTTGCATTTTAAGTTTATTAACATTGTTTTTTTGTTTTTGTTTTTATGGTTTAATGTCTTCCCACACACTCATTAACATGTGAATGTTAACTCCTGACACACCAATCCTAATGAGTAAGTACCGTTAAAAGTCACTCTTCTGTTTCCCCATTAACAATAAAACACCCAGAGTTAGATGTAGCGGCTTAGAGATGTCTGTAAATGTTAGAGTCTCTGGCCCCTAGCTCCCTAAACAGCCAGCAGACAAGAGCCAGGGAGGTGGATGGTGTTAGGCTTTGTGTAGAACCGTGATAACCATTTGGCAGAAGTCCTCCTTTTCAGCCTGTTGGGAGTGGTTAGCATAGCGCAGCAAGAGAACCACTTTCCAAGGCTCGCTCGCAGAACTCTGCTCCATGCTTCAGAGATAGGTGTCCTGTCCCAAACTCATACCTGTGCCCTGGAACATTTGCCAGAAAAAAAAAGTCACCTTTCTTCCTTTTTACTTAGAAGTCCAGTCTCGTGCTAACACTCTGAGCCAGAAAGTTACTACAAGAATTGGAATATTCAAAAAATTGTTTCTGGATTTAAAAATATGGGAGCCCCAAAGAAAAGTAATTTAACTTCAGCCTTATAAATATGTTTTAAAATGCCAAGCCGGTTTGCCAAGTCTGCTGGAATTAGGGACTGACTGCTTAATCTGGTTTGTTTTGCTTCGATTCTGTGCTTGGATTTGGGGCTCGCAGTCAGTGAGTCCTCCACTAAGGATAACCCTGGGAACTAAGGTTGCTTGCCCGGGGTCGCTCTTGTTTTCAAGCTGACAGGCTCACTTGTTTGAACAGACCCCAAACAACAGTGAGTCTCGATGGGACCATAAATCACACCGACGTGTTTCTAATTATCAAAATTTCTAGTCCCAAGAATATGTAAAAGTTAAAGAGTGGACAGAGCTATGACGGCCGAAGTGCTGAGAGTTCTAGCCTTGAAAGGTTCTGTGAAGAATGGAAAGTCAATGTCTGGGGTGGTACCAGCGTCCCTTACAGACCCATAGCTAAGCATCCCTGGTTCCCACCTAGATGCAGCTGCCTTGGCAGCCCAGAGCAAGGCTTCAGAAGATATCATCAAGTTTTCCAAGTTCCCAGCAGCCCAGGCACCAGATCCCAACGAGATCCCAAAGATTGAGACGGACCACTGGCCCGGTCCCCCCTCGCTGGCCGCCATAGGTATGCACCCCATGTAGCTGAGTCAAACTGGCGATTTCCTAGGAGAGTGTGAAATGAATCACTTAAAAACATGCAAAGAAATGTCACAAAGACGTTTCAGAAAAGTGCATAGATCGAGGGGCAGAATAGTGAAAAAAAATGAACCTAACACCAGTATGCACGCAAAATGCTTCGAGGTTACCAAACTGCCTCCCATGGCCTGGCTGTACACAAAAGGCACAGAGACCCAGAACTGGTCTAAAACTCATGGCGTGGATGGACTGGCTTGACTCGGTTGTCTGTTGCGTAAGCTGACCCAGAGCCTGCTGGCAGGGGCATTATTCTGGAGAGCAGAGTGGGTAAAATTGCGGGGCGTCCACCAGAACATATCCTCGCCCAGTTAAGTTTGTTTTAGACCGTATCTGGATTGTCTTCCTCACTGCTAACAGGCAGCCTTAACAAGGTCGCCCGCTCCACTGCTACGACGGGCTGTAGTAGGCATTCGCAGCATAGCTTGTGTGTGTTTCCGTCTGCCATTCCATGATCCTGCGCTCCAGTGCCACATTGGAACCATGTTGTTCTTTGCTTTCTGCTTCCCAGTCGTGTCTGTATCTTCACCATTTTGTCATTAGTGAATGGGTTACCAAGCCCAGCAGCTGAGACTGAAAATTAGGTCAGTCTTACAGGGTACAACTACCCTCATTTCTGTAGACAACCTGAAAGGCCTTCAGTGTTCCAAAAATTCTTAATCTTCCTGTTCAGGTTGTGTTGTTTTTTTTTTTTTTTTTAAAAAAAAACTTATATAGGCAATAGAACTTTATTTTAAATAAATAGTTATAGAAATAGTTAAAGAGAAATCTATTCTTATTATCCACAAATATTCTATAATTAGGTTGATGAGATGTTTCTAATTCTTATAAACTTTGGTCTATTGATTTTTATTAGTATAAACTAAAGAGAAAATCCACATTGGCTCTTTTTTAATATTTATTTATTTATTATGTATACAATATTCTGTCTGTATGCCTGAAGACCAGAAGAGAGCGTCAGACCTCTTTACAGATGGTTGTGAGTCACCAGGTGGTTGCTGGGAATTGAACTCAGGACCTTTGGAAGAGCAGGCAATGCTCTTAACCACTGAGCCATCTCTCCAGCCCCACATTGGCTTTATTAAGTCTAAGAAGGAAGCAGCTGTCAATCTCTGCCCTTCAGGAAGTTTTGGGGCTCTTAGGTTTCTACCCAACCGCATTGCTCAGAGAGAAGGGAAATCATTGTTGACATTGTCATCACGAAATCCTCTAGAGTTGCCTAGAATCCTGAAGTGAGGGAAATGTTTTCCCCCTTCATCAAAATAACAAAAAGTACAGCTATTAGTAAATTTTATTAGACTAGGCAAAGTTCCTAGTTCTCCAGCCAGGTTAATCTAAGTGATTTAGGTAAAACAACACTGACCTTAGCCTTCCAGTCGCTCAGACAGACACCTCCTGGAGACCTAGAAGTGATATCTCAGCTGCTGTATTCTCCAAAGTCGCTCTGAGCTGTACTAACCCTGCTTCTGTTTACCTATTAGTGGCAAATTCTCTTGTGACTGATTTTTACTGTGTGAGGAAGGGAAAACTATAGACCCACCCTTTAAAAGAAGCACAGCAAATGTGTTTCTTAATGGATTTACTAAGGGCAGAAGAAAAAGTAGAAGTTTATTTTTTTAAAAAGTCTCAAACCAGGAGAAGAAGGAACTACAAGCATTAAGAACTTGCCACAAGATAGCAACTGTCTCAGCCATTTGCAGATATGTGGATGTTTGGATTCCTTGCTAGTTAAAGCTGACCAGTAATAGCTGGAGGTACCTACCTCTCCACTTAGTATAACGAACTCTGGCCTGCAGCTGATGCCTTGAGACTCAGTAGCCGCAGCAAGCCCAGGTCTAGTTGGCAGACATGTGGAAGAGCCCAAGCCCCTACCTTAGCTACATTACACATCTATCAGATGGGCCCTGAAAAGCCAGCCCATGGCGCTGATTGGTGGTGGGCATCTTCCCCTGTGGTATTGTGCCCTTCGCTGTGTGAAAGCCTGCTGCCCTGCCACCTTGCCAGCCTCAGAGACAGCCAGATGGGCTGGACCGCTAAGATCCCTCTGTCGTGGGGCAGATGTGAGAAGTTGTCTTTACTGTGGAACTAGGAACTGATATGCGGCGCAGATCTAGCGGTAGAGAGGAAGACGAGGAGGAACTCCTGAGACGCCGGCAGCTTCAAGAGGAGCAGTTGATGAAGGTTTGTCCTCGGGGATGGCCTCAGTTCCATTCCCAGAGGCCCGGGGCTTGCTTGTTTTCAATAAGTACCTTGTGCACTCCACCAAGGAAGTAGGCAGTGCTCCCAGACCTCAGGGGTTTGCAGGCCTCTGGTGACCCGAGGTGGTGACAATGAGGCTGGAGGGTTAGGGGGTGACAGAAGGCAGGGAGCGTAAGACTGTGGGGTAGGTATGCTGGTATTAAATGATGGAGGTGTGGAGGGCTCCTGCGGGCCAAGATGGGTGCACCCAGGGCACACAGGCCTTGCTAGAGCCATTTCCTTGGGATGGAATATATTGGCCCAAGCCTTTCCTCAGGACAGAATATATATCTGGGATGGGAAAATAGGTATCAATTGGTCTGCCACCAAGAGTTCCCTCTTCCCCCACTCCTTTTATGCATTCTTGCTTTTTGCTAGGACCTCTGGTACCTCAGAGGGCTAATGAATTCTAAACTCTGACCAATTAGGGGCTAATGGAGCCCTTAGAATGGTGTCCTCCAAAGCTGTGAGACGTGCACATGGCACTGAGTGCACAAGAGAGTGCCGAGAGTGCCAAGAGCAGCACTGGCTCGTGTAAAGTGTGTAAACAGCGAGAGATGGGTGTGAATCAGGATGTACAGGCTGGGGGCTCCTTGTGGGGGGGGCACAGTTTGCTTCCTTCCGGACTTTCTAAAGTATACGTGAGCATATATTTCTTTTTTTTTTTTAAATTAAAGCAAACAATGGAATTTCTTATTTAAGGATCCCAATCTATAATCTCTCCCTCCTATATCAAAAATCATCAAATGTGCACACAAGCTGAGGCCTTTGGGGGAGGGCAAAAGAAGGGAGGTGATCTTTGAACATGGAGCCTGGCTGGGGATGAGAAGGTTCCCCACTGGAAAAGCTAGAACCTGATCCACCTCCTAAGGAAGCGCAGGCTTCGAGCAGGAAAGGAATGGTTGGTGGCAGCAAGTGCATCGTGTTTCCTTTCCTTTTTTCTCTCTGTGGACAGCTCAACTCAGGCCTGGGGCAGTTGATACTGAAGGAAGAGATGGAGAAGGAGAACAGGGAAAGAGCGGCCCTGCTGGCCAGTCGCTATGACTCTCCCCTGCACTCAGGTGAGCAGCAGATTCTGCCTTCTGTGCTTTAAGGGTGGGCTGAGCCCAGGGGACAGGACCAGCTTGTGTGATGTTCTAACTCCTCGAGTTCCTTCTGAGTGTGGGATGCTGGTCTGTGTGAGTATGTGATGCTACAACTTCATAGGTCAATAAACAATTTCAAAAAGACTGTCCTGTCCAGAGATGCAGGGGTACTGAACTGATCTGCTCCCTCCCTAGCCAAGCTGCCTCTCAGACTCCTGCACCTTCACAAGTGAGATTCTGTAGCCAGGCCTCCTCCCAGGGGCCCCGATGTGATTGGCTGGACCATCTTGATATCTTACACCATTGGTTTCTGGGGCAGGTTACTGATGCCAACTCCCACCACACCTGGAGCATAAGCACCCACACATCCCTCGGCTCAAGTCCTTGCTCTGCAGACTTCCTTAGCGCCTATCTTTTTTTTTCTCCTATAACGCGGAAATAATGGTGTTCTTAGGATCGAGGGCTCAAAGTAAGAAGGTGCACTTATATCCTGTTTGTGGTAGAGAACCATAGGGGTCCTTCTAGCTTCGGCTCCAACTGGGCTGTGTGTCCTTCCTCCTCCTGCCTCTCCTAGAGATGATCACACATCTCCTGCATGCTCCCCGAGAAGGCAGTTTGTTGTAAGACCACAACCCAATATCATCTGGATTCTCTTTCCAAAGTCTTTAGTTGTGCGAGATCACTGGCAATCTCACTGAATGAAACACTAGCAAAGTCTTTTGCTTTTTTCCTCACCCAGCTGCACATGCTCCATCATCAAAAACTTCGTCTCTCCCTGGTTATGGCAAGAATGGCCTTCACCGGGTAAGACTCCCTTCAGTTAATGGTGTCTGTGTGTCTCCTTCTCACAGTTTGTACTGGCAGATCATCAGAATAATCTGACTCCTTTGTGTGCGTGTGTGGTCTTCTTACTGTCTGTTACATTTTTATTATGGTCTATGCATGTCAGTATGTTCATTTATGTGTGTGCTGCATACTCAATGGTGCATGTATGGAAGCCAGAGGTCAACTTGTGGGAACCAGTCCTCTCCCTCCACCGTGTGAGTCCCCCACACTGAACTTGGGTCCTTAGGCATGGGCAGGTACCTTTACACCCTGAGGAATCCCTTGTTCTTGCTGCTGGGACACAGAGCACACTGCCACCTGCCCAGCTTCTTGGTGAATCACTTTGAGGTATAAGCAAAGGAAATTGCTTCTTTTTCAAGGAGAAAGAATTAACTTTGATGGCCGGTGTAACTATAAGAGACTAATTAGGCAATAGCAGACACTTTTCTTACAATAAGGCAAAAAGTACTCAGTTCATAATCTCTATAAAGAGAGCTGGTGGCAACCACCTTCCCTTACGAGGCCTAGAATAATTACAGTTATGTAGTTACTAGATGTAATTCCTAGAAATACATTGTGGGGATGAGGCAGGGTCTCTCTATGTAGTCCTGACTGTCCTGGAACTTACTATGGTGATAAGGCTGGTTTTGAACTCACAGAGATCCACCTGCCTCTGCCTCCTGAGTGCTGAGATTAAAGGCACCTTTAGAAAAATATTTCTATCTATAAAGAAGAAATACTTGTCTGCTGGACATCACCATAGGTGCCCGCAAAACACTGTGATTTCATAATTTGAAGAATAAATAAGATAAATAGTGACCACCCAGGATTTTAGCCTGGGAAGGATTCTTAGAATCTTATAAACCTGTTCTCCTATTTCCAAATCTAAAATGACCACAGAAGCTTTTCCAATGATAATGTTTTCCTCGTTGCAGCCGGTTTCCACAGACTTTGCTCAGTACAACAGCTACGGAGATGTCAGTGGCGGAGTTCGAGGTAAGGCTCCAAAGGGAGGTGAACCCTGACACTGTCACTTCTTGTGCGCCTGGCTCAGGAGAGGCTCTGTAATCACCTCCCTGCCTATGTTCATGCTCTGTGTATCCCACAGTAGGGCCGCAGCTCTCTTCTCTGAGTTACTAGCAAGCACAAAAACGTCAAGAGTGTTTCTAGATCAGTGTTCCTCAACCTGTGGGTTGCAACTCCTTTGGTGTCAAATAGGGGTCACCTAATACCGTTGGGAAACACAGATATGTGCAGCACCATTCATAACAGTAGCAAAATCGCAGTTCTGAAGCAGCAATGAAAATAATTGTACGGGTGGGGGTCACCACAACATGAGGAACTGCGTTAAAGAGTCACAGTGTTGGGAAAGTTGAGGGCCACAGCTCTCGATAAATACAAGCATGGGAAACCAGTATCTAAGTATTCTCACGTTGTCCTTCTGAATGCTGAGTACTCCAGTGAAGGAGGTTTAACCCTACATGAGGTGCAGCGGCCGCCCTCAAAGGGCATGTGGCGACAATAGGGAGGAAGGGTGTTTGATTGATGCCTGAAGTTGAAGCAGGCATTTCCTGGCTTCAGGGAAACCAGTGGTTCAGTGTGTGGACTGATTAGGACTGAGGAAGGCGCATGGATCATTTCGGAATGTTTCAGAAGTTACAATGGAAATACAGGGTTACTCTTGCAATTCTGTGGGTTTGGGGAATGTTTCAGAAGTTACCGCAGAAATACAATGCTACTGTTGGCGATTCTATGAGTTTGGAAATGTTTGGGAAGTAACGAAGTTACCGTAGAAATACAATGTTACTATTGGTGATACTGTGGTTTTCTGTAGAAATACAATGTTCCTATTGGTGATTCTGTGGTTTTCTCCTGGTCTCTCCCTAATGAATTTCTTTTTCCTTTTTCAGACTACCAGGTATGGATGGCTTTGTCTTCCTTGAGTTGGCCACATCAGACAGAACATTCATTCTCTAGTCTGTGCTACTTCAGGGGAACGGTTTCCGTTGGAAGGATGATTATGGTGGTTGATTGTCTAACCGTTACTCCATAGCTGGAAGGAGCAGGCATGTCTGGTAGACAGGTCATGTTGTCACTGCAGACTTTTTGGGTAGGGCTTGAGCTGTGCCAGGTGTGAGAGGACTCTCTTCTCTGACTGGCGCGAGCCCTGTCCAGAGTAGAAGTGAGTGGCCTCACCGGCACGGGTGCACACTTTTAGTTATGGTCTCTCAGTGCTTAGGGGCTGCCTTTCCTTGGTTGTCCCCAAATTAAATGAAGCAGGACTCTTAGCCACTGGGAAAGAACAGTTTGCTCCCAAGGCCTTTCTTTTCATCTTGTAAGACTGGAAGGAAGCTTGAGAAGGGAGAATAAATCCAACCTAAGATAAAGAAAGAGAAAGGTAAGAGGGTCTGGTGGTGTATCTTTTATTCTCGGTATATCAGAGGCTGAAGGTTCTAGAATTCAGGGCCAGCTGGGCTACAGAGAGAGATAGACACAGAAGGAAAATAATAGTAATAGAACCGACAGTTTTTTATGCGTATATCCCTTCACCTGGGCAGCCTACATTGGGAAATAATCCATAGTCATTAATCCATGATTTTTCTCCAACTTGATTACATATTATCAGTCTTACTCTGTAAGGCTCTCACTTTGAGAAATACATGGTAGTGAACATTACAGGTTGGTAGGATCTGAGACCCGACAGGGAAGTCAGGGAGCACTCACAGCCCGCCTGGGCTTCCGCTGAGATTTTCTGCTCACCACTGAACATGCACGTCTGTTGCAGACCCTCCCAGATGGCCACATGCCAGCCATGCGGATGGATCGAGGAGTGTCCATGCCCAACATGTTGGAACCAAAGGCAAGTGTGACTGTTCCTTTCCTCTTGTGGCTTCCTGTCTGTTTGCTGTGTTCAGAGTGTAAGAGCCTCCGAGCCCCAGGTTGGCACATTCAAACAAGCTTGTCCTAAGTGTCGTGTTATTCCTGTTTGGACCACACTCACTCAGCAGATTTAAACCTTTACTGCCCACAGTACTCTGCTCACAGTGAGGTACCAGAACCCCTTCCCTATGACCTAGGTGCTACCTTGACCCTTGCCACATGCATCTCGAGGCCTGTCCAATGCTGAGTGGAACGTCAGAAGCCTGCTCCAGATTTTGTGATCAATATGTCCCGGTTTGCCAGAAATTTCCTAGGGTTACTGGCAAACATCTTGCATACTACATCTGATTAGCCATGGACAAAGTGACGTGTCTGGTCATTCCAGCTCCAGAACATTCTGTGCCTCGAGGTATACCAGACATGATGGAACATACCTTTAGTCTCAGAGATCAAAAGGAGGGCCCTGAATCTCTTTAATTTGAGGCCAGCTTGGTCTACATAGTGAGTTCTAAGCAAACTAGGGCCACATAGTGAGACCCTGTCATAAACAAAACAAAAGGGGTGTCCAAAGACTCGGTCTCCTTGATCCCTTAGTTGTGGCTTATTCCAGTGTGTCAGCTTCCAGAACACTGTTCTGGGGCCTGCTTGGCTGTATGAACTCGCAAGTCTGTCACAGCTAAGAGCGCTGAGCCCTGCACAGTTAGCTGTAATCTAACAGCAACACGTAAGAGGCAGCACGTGTGCCCACCACGCCGGATCTCCGCTAACGTTGACCTTCCCGACTCATTCACAATCAGTTAACAATGCTCCCACTCAGAAGACTGTTCCCAAGGCGCAGCGCAGCGTGCGTCACTGGTTGAGAGATGGCAACGTACAAGAATCTGTCCCTGTGCCCTCACTAGAGGGTCTTCGTACCCACTCTTGTTGGTATCCCTAGCATGCGTGTGCTGGACTTCGGGTTGTGCTTGTGAATTAAATGGATCCTAGTGTTCTAGACAAGGTGTTTTTCCTTCTCAGATATTTCCATATGAAATGCTCATGGTGACCAACAGGGGGCGCAACAAAATCCTAAGAGATGTGGATAGAACCCGCCTGGAGGTAAGTAAAGACTTCAGTTAAAGATCTCTGTATATCACCAACACACACACACACACACACACACACACACACACACACACACACCAGGGTACCTCTAATCATATCTAAATGTGTATTTCCAGGGAAACCTAAAGAAATGGGGACCAAAAAAAAAAAAACCCACCAGTTTCACATTGTAGGTGGCACAAAGAGCTAACTAAAATCTTGAGACTCTCCAAGGAAATACCACTGCAGGATGGGAGTTTATAGCCGTCCAGCCATTGCTCCTATCCAGTGCTCAGCACTTCCTTAGGAGCCTAAGGTGGGGAGGACGATGCCCATTCTCAAAGTGTGTACAGTAAAGAGAGAACATAGAAGGACGCTTCCATACCCAGTCAGCATCAGGGCAGGCATTCGCTGGCTTCAGAGGGGCCAGTGGTCAAGTGCACACGCGCACATCTAAGTCTGCAGTTAGTCAGTGTGTAAAAATGCCTGATAAGCTTTATAATGACCGCAGAGACACAGCATGGCTTCATCGTATTCTTTTGGAAATCCAATGTTGGTGTAATTAGGGCTAGAGTTGCAGCTCGATCATCTCAACCCCTACTAAAATGTATTCCCAGGCCCAAGTCTGCCCCATCTTTGTACCTATCCATCTGAATTATTATTTTTTCTTCTTTTTCAAGACAGAGCTTCTTTTGTGTAGTCCTAGCTGTCTTGGAACTAGCTCTGTAGACCAGGCTGGGTTTGAACTCACAGAGATTCACGTGCCTCTGCCTCCCTAGTGCTGGGATTAAAGGCGTGCACAGCCACGACCCGCCACTCAGCTCTGTCTGAATGATTTTTTAGTTAAGTAACTGTTTTGTCTGCCGTCTCAGGAAGAATCAAGTTCATTCCCTAACACAAAGGAGTGTTTTTGTCGATGAGGTCAGGCTAGCCCTGACGATTCTAGCCTGTGTTAAAATGGGACTTCACAGGAGGTACGGCCCATGAAAGATAAACATCCTTCTCTCCTGTTAGTGGGCAGTGGGAAGCACTGGGCTCTCCTAGGGGCCACCCTCGAGGTCCCTTTTGTTTTTGGCTGTTCCTATTGTCCTTTATTCTCTGTATCTCCTCAACATGCCAAGGGCCTGAAGTGACAGCTGCTGCTTCCAGTGTCACGAATCCCCTTCCCAAGCCCAGCCGCTAGCCCAGCACCCAAGTGCTGCAGTGCTGGCGGGCGTCTACCAGCTGCTTCCTCTGGTGGAGAGGACACTGGGACTGGCCATGTCTGAGAAACAAGCACCAGAGAGAGGTAGCCGCTTCTCTCCCCAACCTGATGCCTCTTCACAACAGCATCAGTGTCTCTCGGTTTCTGCAGGGAATCCATTCCAGGACACCCTCCCCCAACAGATAACAAAGTCTGCAAGTACTTGCCCTGAGTCTTACAGAAAGTGATATGTGTTTAGATGTTGACTCCACACACCCTCCTGCATGCTTTAAATCATCTCTAGAATGTCGCATACCTTTGGGTACAACCTACGTGACACGTCTGTAGTTGCAGCACTGTGTGGTTTAGGGCAGAATGACCAGGGACACCGTCTGCACATGCTTAGGTCAGACGCAGTTTGGGAAGGGAAGCTTCACTTTTGATCTAACGTTGATGGAACTGGGGATGCCGAAGCCGCAACTATAGAAGGCTGGCTGTATTCATAAACTGGGGAACACACCTCAAGGTCATTGTGTGACCATTAGGACTACTAACACTTTCTTGCTTCTCTCTCCCCAGCGCCACTTAGCCCCAGAAGTATTTTGGGAAATCTTTGGGATGTCCATACAGGAATTTGACAAGTTACCTCTTTGGAGACGCAACGACATGAAGAAGAAAGCTAAGCTCTTCTAAGTCCCCCGGGTAAATGACAATCAGGAAAAGGACTCTCAGTGGTGGTGGTGCCTAGAACGTTGTATTAAGGCCCAGAATCATCGATCCGAGAATTTATTCGCTACCCAGCAGCAACACTGAGGAAAAGTCTGATCTCAGCACCCATGGGTCACATCCCCGGCCAAGCAACAGTAACACTTGGAACAGCCATGGGTTCGAAACTTCTCTGTTCCCAAACTCAGCAATGATGTCCACACGTGACCTTTTCACGTGACTACGTCCACAACAGGGGCTTCTTTCTCCTTTTTATTCCCCTTTAATTGATGTGTAACTTAGCGCTGCCTGTACCTGTGAGAGTCAGCAAGTGCCCTTAGGAAGCCACACGGGAAGGAATGGCTGGGAGCCCTGAAGTATGAGTCTATTTATTATGTAGCACTGTGGCTGAGGAGGAGTCCAGAGCCCAGCGTCGATGTGGTAGCAACAACCTGGCCTTTCCTTGGCAGCCTCCCTCTGCTCTTCCTGGGCTCCGGGGGAAATGGAACTCCCTCCGGGACCTGGGCAGTTCTGAGTTCATGGCTGAGTACCAGCAAAAATGATTTGAATATGCTTCTTTTCTCTTCTTGTGTGCTGGAATCCAGTTGGCCAACTGCTAGGGGAAAAAAATGAGAAAGGAAAAGGAAATTAAGGAAGCCCCCCCCCCCCATTGAACGCTTTTTCTGCCTGACGATATGCTCAGTCCTCTCTCCCTATGAACTGAGCTGGTGTATTCACCTGTGCAAAGAAAGAAAGTAAGGCAAAACGAGTTTCCAGATTGGTTCAGCTGCTGCTGGGTGGTTGTTGCCCATGCGTCATGTCTCTCTTAGAGAAGGAAAATCTGTGCCCTGCCTCCGTCCCAAGTTCTCCCCCGCAGTGTCCCCTCCTGTCTGGCTGGCATCTGAGGGGTCAGGTCAAGCCCATACTGGTATTGTGTGTCAAGGGCATAGACCAAGGGAAGACAAGCTCTTCTCCTTCAGATCTCTGCAGCTCTGAAGTCAACAGCTTCAGAGTTCATGCAGTCTAGTTTGCCCTGACACACTGACATGCTTGCATGTGTTCACACCTGTGTTACTCACCCAGGGATGTTCTGTGAGTCTGTCTGTGCTTTGTAACCTCTGCTTGAATGTACCACGTTCAGTGTACCACACTGTGCTGCGGCTTTGATGGGCCTTTGCATGAGAGCATGTGACCCAGATGAAGAATGAGGCTTGGGAGGAACCAGCATATGTGGTGAGCTGTGGAGACTCACGCTGGGTTCAGACTGCAGACCACAGAAGTGAGGCCAGGGTGGTTTAGGGCTCAGAGCGTCTGTCTCACTGGAGGACCTGCATACTCTACAACTCTCAGTGAAAACTGGAGCCTAGTTCTTTCATTGCAATGAGTGAACAAGGCCACATGATAAGAACTGGTTTGAGCTGGATTGTGAAGAATCTCTCCAGGTCCACAGAGTCTATCTAATGGTCATATTGATTCTTCTGCTCTGGGGCTCTTTTTGGGAGTTTAAGCTCTGAGAGAAAGTCAAGGGGAAGCATTTGAATTCCCTCTCAGATCACAACTCAGCACAAAATCCAGAAACTCCTTCCAGGATTAGAGTGACTGGCTGTCTGCTGACACCAGCAGTGAGGAGCAAGCAGCATAGATCCGGAGCCCATGCTGCAGTCCCGTGACTTGTGACCCGCTTCTTTGGGTTATCCTGCCTTACTCCTGCAAGGGGGTTAAGTATGAGAGCTCCGCTCACAAGCCCGCGTTAGCACAGTTATCAAGAGCGCCACACCGCATGGCCGGAGTAGATGGGTCCAGCTCCCCTTGGCTGGGAGGCAGACTGCGGATGGTGGGTTCCCTGTGTAGGTCTCTCACTCTTTGCATGTTTTCATTGTTTTGCTCCCGCTGCCCTGCCCAGCACTGACTGCCTTGGCACGAGGCTGGTGTCTCCTGGTTCTCATGTTGCCCTGGCAATGGGCAGGATGGAGAGTGGGTGCTACAGTGTTCCCCTGCCGCAGTGAGCAAGGGTGGCCTGGCGGGAGACTTTGTTTATCCAGTACGGAGGTTACAAATGGCCCACCATGCTTTGTACCAGTTACTATGTCACTGTTCACAGCCATGCAGGTAAGAAAAACCAAAGCATTAGGGAGACAGGGACATGAGCAGGGGCAATTGCTAATGTTCGGCACCTGCTCTCCATAGTTCATGTGGCTGTCTTGACATATGAAAATTCAGCTGAGGGAGGAGGAGGGCAGGGACACTCCTCTTTATACGGAGAACTTTGAGTGAGTTAGAGGACCTGCTAGGATTGCGCTGATAACTGAAAAATTAAACTCTTAAATTCCTGCAATAACAAAATCCTGCCTTTTTGACCATTTGAACTCAGTCCCCCATCTAACTTGGGGGGGAAATTGGTATTCCATATCAGCATACTAGTTAATTTAAATTGTATCATGTAAAAATGTATTTCTAGAAGACACCGATAGGAACCCCAACTGCCCCGGAAAGGAGTGAAGGAAAGGTCACACCAGGGTCTCAGTCCATTCCCTTGCAGGTTCCAGCCAGAAAGATACACGGAGGATGATCCGGTTTTAACCGCCAGACCCATGGTTGGGGCTGTGGTGCCATATCTGTGCTATCCACATGACTGGCCTTGGCATGCCCAGACCACAACACGGGAGATGGGTGGTCTTCATTTTACCCCACCCTGCTGAACACAGGAAAATTCCAGTTCCTAGAAATCAAAGCGGCTTGTTCACTTGGGGGAGAATCTATGTATGGCAGACGTGGTGCGTATATTAAGGGCTGTATTTTTTTAGCATCTGACCTACTTGTACCTGACATGTGTACAGATTGCATGGTGCAGAAGTGGCTTCCTTGGCCACGTGGTAGTCTCGATGCTTCCCCCAAAACTTCTGCAGAAGAGGCCAGACCCTCGAGTCGTCTTCCTGTGCAGCTTACTAGAGAGACAAAAAGCCTTGAAAACAGCTAGCTCTGCATTTTCATACCCGTGTGGAGTTTGTGATGAAATATTTTTAATATGACTCCTTCAACAACTAAACATGAACTGCCTGTTCTCTGAAACCCCAAAGAGAAAAACTGCAGTTAGTGGGTTCTAAGGTGCAAAAAAAGGGGGGGGATAGTTTTCTATCTGTCCTGTCCTCTGCTCTCCCCAAGTCCCAACTCTGTTGCCTCCAGCCTGAGCCTTCTCTCCTGAGGCACAGCCCCACCTCTGTGGCTTCCATCTCTGTCTACGGTCACTCGTCTCCAGCGCAGAGAGGATCAGCTGGTGGTATTTCTAAAGCAGGACTTCTTTGCTTTGAACCAAACATCATTTTCTAAAGATAGCTTCACCAATGATGCCATCAAAAATATCTGCTTTTGCAAGTTTAAAAGAATTCAAATTAGCCTCTTTTGAGTCTTCGTTAAGAAAGAAAGAAATCTCAAGCAAACCTAGAGCGGCATCCCAGGGCATGCTGTAGGACATTGGCATGGCGCCAGGCCGTGTGCTTCAAGAACCCTGCTCAGAAGAGATTTCTCCTAACTGCTTAATCTGTACTTTTTGTGCCCTCCTCAATTTCGAGTTATGTTTTTTTCTTCTTTAGACAAACCAAGGCTTTGTATGCTTCAAATTCACTCTTTCATGCCCCCACTGAAGAACTTCCTATCCAGAAAAAGATAGTCAGAGCTTTGGATTTGTGGTGACGTGTCTTCCAGGGGCCACGTACAGGGAAGGAACACCGCCTCTACTGGAACAGAATGAGCAAGGCTTCAGCATCTACAAGACCACGGTTTCCATTTTCTCCCCTTGGAGCCGAGGGAGAGGGAGACAGACAGATATTGGATTGCTTTCACTTGTGTGTGTGTGTTCAGTGTTGTGGCAAACTCACAAAGGACAGTGGCTGCTCATGCTGAAGCTCTCTAAACAGTGGAAGTGTGCACAACAAAGTTCAGCAAAGCCAACTTTTTTGTCCCAGAAGCTTAATGCAATTGAGTGACAGTTGTCTTAATAAAATGCTTTTCTGTGTCTCTTCTGAGTGACAGTCCCATGAATCACTTCCCCTGGATGAAAGAAAGAGACAAGCCTGTATGCATGGATGTTCAGAAAGGTTATGATTATGTATGAAAATATTTTCCCTATGGAAGAGGAGACAGTTGTCCACAGAATTGATGTTTGGGGGAATTCTCTGTACAGATGTGTCTGGTGGTAAATGTAGGGGTTTCCATGAGATGCCAAAGACCCTGCATCGAATCTCTTGTAACTTGGTTAATGGGATTTGCTTTGATGAAAGAAAGCCTGCTCACTCTTCCTTCCTTCCCTCCTCTTGTTGGTGATATGAACGCAGGTGTTCACAAAATGTTCTTGAGAAGCTGTGCCGTGTTTCCTGTGGAGATGGTGTGTGTCAGTGCCTGAGCACCTGGTGCCGGGTGTAGAGGGGAGCTTGGCCTGCAGGCCCCCGTCACTGAGCTGTCCTTTCCCAGCCTGCTCTGCGCCCATTGCAGGCAGTGCACACCACCCTCCTTCATCACTGTACTCAACTCCATGAATAAACTGTGTGCTTCCTCCCTGAGCGCCTCCAGCTCTGTTCTGTTTCCTGCTCCCCTATCAGTCAAACTCCCGGGAGCCCGAACAAAGAGCAAAGTCAAAGCTATAGCAGGTCGTCTTTGTTTTAATACTCAAGAAAATGTATTTTAAGTGTATATGTAGGCATACGTGCAAGCATGTGCAGGTGAAGTTGGTGTTGGGTTCCTGAGCTGCCTGAGGTGGGTGCTACGAATGGAACTCTGGTCCTCTGCAAGAGCAGTGCGTGCTCCTAAACACAGAGCCATCTCTCTATTCTGCCTTGTGTTTTTCCATCATATTCATTGATGTATCACATAACACAGATGTTTCCCTGTAGTTTGCCCAATAATTCAGGCCATCATGACAAAGCTGACTAGGGTACATTATCAACTGGTGTCCTAGTTAGGGTTTCTATTGCTGTGAAGAAACACCATGACCATGGCAGCTCTTAACAGAGGAAAGCATTTCACTGGGGGCTTATTAACAGAAACTGACTTTAGCTTCCTGGCCACCCAAACCAGAATAATCACACAGAAACTATATTAATTACAGCATCGTTTGGCCAATAGCTTAGGCATATTCCTAGCTAGCTCTTACATCTCAACCCATTTCTATTAATCTATGTATCACCACAAGGCTGTGGCTTACCAGTAAGGTTATAGCATCTTTCTCCTTTAGCAGCTACATGGCATCTGCCTATCCGTGCCTTCTTTCTCCTTGCATTCAGTTTAGTTTTCCTGCCTTCCCATATTCTGCCCTTCCATAGGCCAAAGCAGCTTCTTTATTAACCAATGGTAATAAAACATTCCTACAGAGAGGAATCCCACATCAGGGTCTCGTTCACAGTTTCAGAGGTTTAGTCCACTATCACCATGACTGAAACATGGCAGTGTGCATGCAGACATGGTACTGGAGAAGGAGCTGAGGGTTCAACATCTTGACCCACAGGCAACAGGAAGTGAACTGTGTCACTGGGTGTAGTTTGAGCGTAGGAGACCTCAAAGCCCGCCCCAACAGTGACACACTTCCTTCGACAAAACCATATCTACGCCAACAAAGCTACACCTTCTAATAATGCCACTTCTTATGGGGGGGGGCGTTTTCTTTTCAACCCACCACTGAGTATGGGGAGAGCCCAGGGCTCAGGACCCACCCACACAAGCATCTAGCAGTGATCTTCCAGTGCAGCTAGAACTGATGTTTCCTCTGTCTGTGACAGTCTCTGGGGCAAGACTGAAGACTTGAGGACAAGACGTCCCAAGCCACTGTTAGCACGGGCCATGGCAGTCACCTAGAAGACTGTGGGGGAGGTGTCTTCCAATCCTCCACTTCATTATCAATCTTTGCATGAAGAAAATCTCCCTCACCTGGGAGCCAGAGACAGACCATTCACCAAGGCTGTGGGCCTGTTGGTTCTCTGCTCTCAGAGAACAGGGTCAGGAAGCCCAGCCTCCAATCTTAAGGTCCACTCAGCTTGGCTTCCACCAGCAGCAGCGCCTATCCCCAGCTTCACCACCAGAGGTCACCTGTAGTCCTTGTCATTACTTCCTTGTGACAGTGGACTCCGGTGACCAGGAACCTCACAGGAGAGTTCACCTCACACAGAGAGATGTCTAGTGGGCAATGGTCAAGGCAAGGCCACTTCCCTCCTTCCTGTCCCTGCCTCTGGCTTCGACCCTTTCCTCTTCTAGACATGCCATGTTTGTTCTCACTAGGGCGGCTTTGCCAATGATGTTTCCTCTCCACAATGTCCAACTCTCCAAGGAGGTGGCTGATGGAGAGAATCTGCTGCCAGGGAAAGGGTGTCATGTCCACTGTCAACTCTGTAAAGTCACCCTTCCATCTATTTTTTTTTTAAATTATCTGTGTGAATTTCCTATGGGCTCCATGAGTCTTATTGAAGACAAGGCCACATATCCATGCTTGGCCTGAGCCTGTCTCGATGGCCAGCCTGGCCTACTGCAGCAGCTCTTGGCATACTGACAACTGACTGTGGTAGGCAGTGCGTGATCACGGTTGCCTTATTCCCTTAGCTTGGCATGCGTCTGCTTTGTGTTTCGTTCTGGCGACCCCTTTGCTGACTGTCATCTAGTCTCAGGTCAGCACAACTCCCCAACAGCCCTAGGAGGCTGAATACTATAGTCTCACCATACATGTTGAAAGCCGGAGCTCAGAGGCTGAGCAAGTATGTCTGGCTACTCAGGAAGTAGCAGATCTGTCTCCATAGCAACCCATGTTGCTTTCCTTCAAGTCCCTGTCTCTAGAGCAAGAACGGTATCTCACATAATGTCTCAGGGCCAGATCCACTTATTATGGCCTCACATTTCCTCACGGCTACCACATGACAGCTGCAAATGACACTTTCTGATCAGTTTTCAGGCTCTGCCAGCCCAATCTGCTCATCTGTGGAACGGACAAAAAGGTGAGAAACCCCATCCAAAGATCTTGATGACACATGTTGGTCACGTGGTGCAGTGCCCAGCACAGTAACTGCTCCGGAAACCCCAGGGATGCTTACAGGGGGTAATTAGCCACTCAGAAGCTTGCTGAGTCTCATTGTCTTCCCAGGTACGTTGAAAGTGGACATATGGCGGGATGGTGAAGGCACTGAGATACGCCATGTGAGGGATGGCAGGGAACATGAGGGTCTCCCACGGGTGTGGATGTGGCCAAAATCTTTTCCTAGGGGAGATGGAAACGAAGCCTACCCTTCCTTCCGAGTTACCAGTGACACACCGAGGTGCGAGTCCACCAGGTTCACTCTGGGAAACCTGAGAGTTTATTAGGCATATAGAGCAATGGGTAAGGTTATAGGGAGGATTATGACTGACCTTGAAATAGCCACACATGAGGAAGGTCTGCACACAGCATGAAGGTGGTTCCCCATGGCCACATAGGTGGATTCACCTCTCTAGTCCCCCCTCTCCCCCCACCCCCCACATCTATCTACTCTGGTCTCTCCCTGAGGCTACCTGCAATTAAGGCAAAATTGCACGCAGCTGGTTAGCATGAGTGACCAGATGTCTGGAGGAGGGTCCCAAGACCTTCCTGACCCTCTTTCTGTGAGGGAAAATCAGCAGTTATCTTGCTCCACGTGGGTTCAGCTGGGGCAGTCTTTTCTGAGCATGCCCGGATGAACTGAAGATGGTCCTTTTGAGGATTTCCATTTCTGTTGTAAGCTTTCTCCTCCCTCCGGTCTGAATAGGAAGATCCGGTCGTTAGAGCAGGCCCACCACCTCTTAGACACTTGTGCAGTAGTTCACTAAGACAGACTCCTAGTTATTAGCGAGAACAGGAACACATCACATAGCTAAATGCTGGGTGTAGCATCCAACAGCTTGGGTCTGAGTTCTGGCTCCACTAATTATTGGCTGCATAGCTAATGAAGATCTGCTTAACTTCGCTAAGTCTCTATTTCCATTTCTATAAAAGGGGAGTAATCGTTAATAATACCTGCTTCAAAGTAAAACAAGACCTGGCATGAGAAAGACCTCAGACATTGAATTTGTTACTACAAAGACTGACTGCTGTGTAGTAAAGGCTGGCTACCCACTCCAGCCCTGACCCGAGCTTATTCTGTGCTCTTGGGCTGATTCTTACACCACTTCCCTTTTAGAGAAGGAAAAAGACCCAAGAAGCTTGTGTCTTACTCAGTATCATGGGATGGTTGACAGGGATTTAGGCCTAAAGGCCAGCCTCTCTAGTCTGGAGCCCCGCCTCTCTAGTCTGAAGTGCCCCCTCTGCGCAGCCATCCCAAGAGATGCCCAGCCAGGGCAGCAGACTGCAAAGGGCAGGCACCCGGAATTGCTTCCCTCTTCAAGGATGCTAGAAAACACCGCCATGGGAGAAGGTGGTGAGTTACCAAAGGTCTTTACGACTGTGTGGCTCCCTTTAGCAGCTCAAGTGTTTGGAGATTTCCTCATCTCGAGAAAGCTACCAGACCTGACAGCTCTCTTACACACGTAAATTCACAGCAGCTAGGTCGACATTCATAAGTCTTAGCCAACACCGTGCCAGCTAAAAGCCCAGCATAGATGGGGAGGTGCTCGCAAAGCCCCACGCCCACTTGAGGAGCTATTGGCAGGGGATGGATCCTAAGAGGCGAACTGTGCACCAGTGATCCGAAACCCAGTGGGTTCAACAGAAAAGAAAAAGAACACAACCCATGAAGATGGGAGGGGAAAGCGGTGGGAGGTAGGAATCTGAGTAGGGAGAATAGCTGTAGATTTGATCAAAACACATTAAATGCATGTTTGAAATTTTCCAACAGTCTAAAAAAAAAACCCTACCAGCCTACTCAGCCCCTCCTGCCCATTGCTGGACAGGGCTCCTCTCCCACGCTCCTTCCAGAGTCAGCCAGCCTTGCCTGGGTGTGGCCACCAGCCCTGCTCGGCTGGATAAGGTCCATTGTGGGCAAGGAAGCAACAAGGAAGGGTGGGGATTCTGGGGCTGGCAACTTTTGGGGAAGCCCTGTGTGGCTGAGGAGCAGTGACCAGAGCTACAGAGCCCCAAGTTGAGAACCACACCCCAATTCCCCCTCTTCCCATCTGACACCCAGACTCTAAGGAAACTGCCTCTATTCTACTGCAGAATTCAGGGTGCACCAGAGCTCGCAGAGACAGATAACAGTGTCCTATGACCACATTTATTTTCCTTTTCACTCTCAGTGGGTAAAACTGCTCTCCAGAGTCTGCCATTGTCCCAAGCACAATAGCAGGCCCTGGAGGAGGGGATTTTTCTGTATTTATTTGTGCTGTTCCCTGCTGCTGCTGCAAACGCTCACTTCGAGTTGTGTGCACGTATGCACACACACCACACACACACACACACACACCTTTTAACCCAGCTCTTCCCATCAGTAAAAAGAAAATCTGGCTTGGGAACCCCTCTTCCCCAAAATAGAGTCTGGTTCTGCTTGGGCCCAGCAGGGTGTAGGGTTGCCCCTTCAATAACATTTCAATGGGATCTAGTGGCAGCCCAGAGCCTTCCAGAAGCTTCCAGACCCACCTAGACCTGTTGAGACTCCAGTTCATGGGATGCAGGCTAGTGAATCTTGGATGATACCAGCAGGTAACATTTGTAGGGGCGGGAGGGGGAGGGTCCTATGGAGTGCCAGCGGCTAACCTGGATCCTCTATGTGGATTATGCCAGTTTGTCTGAGAAGAGTAAACCCAGCACACTCAAGGGTTTGGCAGTAGGATTCTAAACCCACCCTGACCCCTCTAGTCTGAATAGCATTTCTGCTGTTTCTGTGTCTCACTGTAACCATGGCTAGCCAGGAACTTGCTATGTAGACAAGGCTGGCCTTGAATTTAGAGGTTTACCTGCCTCTGCCTCCTGAGTGCTGGGATTAGAAGCGCAGAGCATGTCATCCCCAGGCCTCCGCAGCTCTCTGGGATTGCCACAGCACAGCATCATTCCCAAGAGATTGCCAAAGAATATCGTTTTCAAAGCAAATGCCAGCAAGGCAGAGCCTGCCCATGAATAATATTTTGTTCTACCCTGGGCAGCTGGCACAGAAATCATCAGTCCCTTCGTTCCTGCCATTGTCCTGAAACACACATGGCTTAATGAGGAAGTAAAAGTGTTGCATTAGATAAACAGGACTCAGCCAGTGTCTCTGGTGAAAAAATAAAAAACCAGCTGAGGATAATGAAGCTTAGTGGTAGAGGGCCTGACCAGCATGCATGAGGTCCTAGGTCCAAACCCCAGGAGCAGAAAAATAAATAATTACGGTTTCAAAATTGTTATTCTCTTCCTCATGAGGTACTGCGTACTGTTGAAAACTAAAACCATGACTGGCCTTGCAGGGCATAAGGTATTCTAGAGAGACACTGGTGCCCCCAATCTGAGAATTGGACTGGTCAAACAATAGACCCCAAACACTAATCCCACGCTGGGAGAAAGAAAAGACTGAAACCTGGTGTCAACAAGAACTGCCTCCTCCATCAGCGTGTGAGCCTGTGGGTACAGCGCGCTTTCTTGATAGCTAATTGATATAAATGGGTCACACCTGAGCAAGTGGGGCTGGGCTGAATGAGGAAGCAGGCTGAGCAAGCCACGGAAGAAAGCCCGTAAGCAGTGTTCCTCCATGGGCTCAGATCTGCTCCTGCCTCCAGATTCCGGCCCTGCATTCCTTCGACTGTGACAGAGACAAGAGCCAGCTTGCCCCTTTCCTCCCTGCGTTATTTTTGGTTGTAGGGTTTATCACAGCAATAGAAAGCACAGTAGGAAACGGTTTGTGGCAGTTTGGATAGGAATAGCCCATAGGCTCACAGATTTGAATGCTTGGTCATCAGAAAGTGGCACTATTTGAAAGAACTAGGAGGTGTGACCTTATTAGGGTGGGTGTGGCCTTGTTAGGGGAAGGTGTGCCTGGGGTGGGCTTTGAGGTTTTAAGAGCCCAATGCAAGCCCAGTGACTCTCTCTTCCTGCTGACTGCAGACCTGAATGTAGAACTCTCAGCTCCTTCTCTAGCACCATGTCTGCTTGCTTGTCCCCATGCTCCCTGCCATGACGATAATGGACTGAACCTCTGAAACTGTAAGTCAGCCCTGATGAAATGTTTTCCTTTATAAGAGTTGTTGTGATCGTGGTTTCTCTTGACAACAATAGAACACAGCTCTTGCAGACTCGTGGCCTCTAATCCTTATACATGATATGGGTAGGTGCTGCAACCCCACAGGTCACAGGGGAGGGTTTTCTTGCTTGCAGAAATTCAGATGAGGCCCCGAGAGATTAGTGTATATAGCTCAGTTACTAGGGTCCTTGCTTAGCATGTGTGAAGCCTTGGGTTTGATCTTCAGTACTGCATAAGATGGATGCCGTGCACCGCACCCCCGTGTCTGTGCTCGGTGCGCTGGCACCCAGTTCGCGAGCTTCGGGCAAAGGGCTGGAGGTTAAAATACACAGACACACACAGACAGAGGGACAGCGACACGGGTCATCCTTGAATTCCCCAAGAATGCCCCCTTTATTGTGTTCAGGGGCAGATAGAGATAGCCACGCCCCAGCCAAACCCACCAGAAACCACTCTCCTGCCATCAGGAACTCCTGAAGGTCTCGTGCTCAGAGCAGCTGTAGGCACTCAGATCAGGGGATTACAAGAAATTCAGGGTCTGGGGGCTCACTGCCCCCAACAGCTGGACATGGTGGCACTAATATAATGTAATATATATAGTGTATAGTGTAATCCTAGCACTAAGGAGGTAGAGACGAGCAGAAACTCAGGTCCTTGCCTATATAAGCCATTGTGGGCTACATGAGATCCTGTCTCGAAGGGGCGTAGTCATAGGAGGGACCTAACTGCAAATCTCATGCTTCATTCCAAGAGGAGGTTTGGATTTGGGAGGTCTGGCTGGGAGCTGGCAAGCTGTACCATATAACAAAATTTAGAAACTTCCAGGTGGTTCTGATAGTTAGCCATGCCATGTGGGGTCAGGAGTAAAGCTGGTCCGTTGCAGTCCACGTACCCTAAGTCTCTGCTAGACTTTGCCAATGCTATCGCCCCTATGCACGAGGCCAGATGCCACACGTGGACTCATCTCATGGGAGACATTATTCCAACTGGCTGCCGGAGCTCTGCTATGGAGAATCCCAATGATAAAAACTACCATTGCCACACAAGGACCTGGACTGGAGGAGAGTCCATCAGTATGTGCTTGCTCGTGGGTCAATTTGTCAGTTAGGGCACTGACTCCATTTAAAACGGAGAAGCAGGAGGTGAGAGAAGCGTGTAGGGCCCAGCTTCTTGCAGGAAAAGCGCCAGCTCTGTAGCATCTCCTCTGCTCCTGTCCCTGAGACACAGAACACGGTAAGCCCAGCCTAGCAATCCCTTCTGAGGGATGCCGGTGAGGTTCCTTTCACTGTACACCGTCTAGCGTTGCTCTCCTGCTTGCCACAGAGTAGGGCACACAGCCTGTCTTTTCTAGGGATGCAATCACTTTAGGGAGTTAGCAACAGTCACTCCCCAGTCCCGCTCCAGAGCGGGAGTGAGAACGGTTGGTATCAATTGTTCATCACTAGAGCTATGTTTGAGATTTAGAGTCGAGATCCTACCTTTCCCATTTTTCTATAATTAGTTACTTTTAAGTTATACAAAGTGCCAAGGTTACGGAGTTTATTCAACTGAGACTTTCTGATCCCAGAAAATGTCTAAGTTCAAACCTACGTACTGTTCATTTCCCAAATCTTTCTAATCTAAACAGAAGAAGGAAACCCACCAGATTCCTTCCAGTCTGAGACAAAATGTTCTGTCAAAGCTTTGGAGTTCTTTGAGATCTTGACAGAGGTTATGAGGTGACATTGTCCTTGAGATGTGGCTTCCTGTTTGCTCAGTAACGTGGGTAAGACCTCAAGGCAGCACCTAAGTCCCCTGTAATCCTGGGGCATCCTTCTCGAGTGTTCCCAGAGGCCCTAGGTCTGCCGTTTGTTCTCCATGGCCCTGCTCTTTCTTTGCTGCTGATCCAGGAATCCTTCCCACCACACAATGTCTAAAAGCAGTTCAGAAACAAGCTTCCTCTTAATTCTTTACACCGGTGACTTTCCTGTGGATCTCTATCTGGTCCTGCCTTTATGTGCAATTGCTTGGATCCTTGTTTACTGTTACCCCAACTTGTCAGGTTGTGGGGGAGCTGAACGGTGCTCAGTTTCGGGGCCACTCTGTGTTGGTTTGTAGACAGAGTCAGGAGTGGTCTCTGCGCGGCTAGGGATAGGTGGGCTTTCTGAGCCTGCAGGGTCAAGCTTCTACAGGCATGGAAAAGTCTCTCTGCCATCGAATAAAATAGATTATTCCTTTGCCCGTGGGTATTAACTGCAAATAGCTTTTGGTTAGAGGTGGGACCCAAATCCACTTTCCGTTTTCAGTGCTGTGCCCCCGTCTGGCTTGAACCTGTGCAGGTCTGTGAGTGCTGCTATAGTCCCCATGGGTTCATATGTGTAGCAGTCATGTTTCCCTGGCATCCTCCATCCTGTCTGGCTCTCACAGTCTTTGTTACCTCCTCTTCAGTAGAGATCCCCAAGTCTTGAGAGGAGGGGTGGGTTTGGTGACGACATCTCACTAGGGATTGAGTGCTCCTAAGTCTCTCACTGTCTGCACTTGTACAATGGGATTTAACTCATCAGTAAGAAGGAACGAGCTATTGCAATATCATGCACGTATCCCCAATGTATTATGTTGAGGGAGAAAAGGCTAAATCAGAAAGGCTCCGCAGTGCCTGATCCCACTGGTCTGACACGTTGGGAAAGGAAAGCTGTAGAATCAGAAGACTTCTTATCTCGGACGAGGGCTAGAGTGGAGACTACAGAGAGGAACAGGGAAGTGTCAAAGGTGATGAGTTAGTTATTCTGTACCTTAATGATGGTGGTGACCGCATGGATATATACATATCCCCAAACTCTCAGTACTGTGGACCACAAAGGATGAACGGTGCTCTATGTAAATAATACCCAAATTAAAAATAAAGTAAAAAAGAAAAGCAGTTCCATTTAAAAAAATTATATCATCAATCCTACCGAACTTGGGGCTGGGAGACATTCTAACGGGAAACCTTATATGTAGCCAATTATCTAGTCTTAAGAGGCTTGCAAGCCTTGCTGTAAACTAGGCGCTGTGCTCAGCTCTTGAGATAGAATAGTGGACAAACAGAAGTGAAGCTCATAATCTCCCAAGTACAAACAGAGCGGCGCAATTGTGTAAGGATTGGTTCTTGACCATCAGCGACGCCTTCTCTGGGGAATGCTCCTATTTTAGTGGCCACTGGACTGGATATGGCTACAGAAGAATGGATCTTCATGCGTTTCTGAAGCAGGGAAGGTGATGAGATTGCTGGTGTGCACTAGAGAAGGAACAGATTTGGGGTGGTAAAATCATGAGTTCAATATAATACGAACAAGAGTTAGACCACAGGAAGCCCAACTGGATGCACGGCAAAACTACACAGAGGACCCATTAGAAACAGAACATATTTACACTTAACACATGCATGGATACTCACAGTTATAGTCTCCTCAACATGACAATGAAGTGGGGGACTATCCATGCAGCAGAGTCAGTATTTAAATGTGAAGTGCTGGAGTGTGGTATGGCATGGGTGACCTTGAAAATACTGTGCTAAGTGAAAGAAACCACCATGGAAGATGATGGAGCAGTGTCTGATTCCACTTCCAGGACATTTCAAAGGCGGGAAAATCTACAGAGTCAGGGGATAAGGCCTTGTGGAAGGAACAGGGAGCGTGACGTGACTACCATATGTATAATAGTTCTTATTTACTGAGATAACTACGAAGCTGTTGTCAGAGTACACTCTAATGAATAAATTATTTATCTGTGGAATCCTCATAACAGGTCAAGAGATCAGTATTGCATTTCCACATTTTGCTTATTTCATTAAGAAAGACACGTGCCCTGTGGTACTTGTATCTTTAATGATGGACCCGTGATCTCTAGCCCAGATACTCTGCCCTCACCTGTAGCTCAAATTATAATTGGTCTTAATAATAAAAACCTGGAGTCAGATGTTGGCAATGAAAGCTGAAAGATAAGAGAAACAGCAGGCAGCCACTAGTTCTTACCTCTATAAAATCCTCAGACTGAATGGGGTATCCTGTCTCTACAAGTCCTCAGACTGAATGCTTTGGGTTCCTGTCTCCTCCTGCCTTATATTCCTCTCTCTGCCCAGCCATATCCCTTCCTGTGTCTACATCCTTAGTGCTGGGATTAAAGATGTGTGACTCCCAAGTACTGGGATTAAAGGTGTGAGCCATCACCACCTGGCTCTGACTCTCTTTTAGACTGATCAATCTCGTGTAGCCCAGGGTGGCCATGAACTCACAGAGATCCATTTGCCTCTGTCTCCAGGGAGCTGGGATTAAAGGTGTGTGCCACCACTGCCTGGCCTCTATGGCTAGCTAGTGGCTCACTCCACACTCTGATTGTCAGGCAAGCTTTCTGTGTTAGATCACAAACAAAATATCACCACCTTCACCATCTGAGGCCTTACCTGAATCGAGACCTGAGCTCTGCTTGAGGAAACCTTTCTTCTGGCTTCCCTGGGCTATCTCACTTCCACATCCCTCCTGGGAGGAGCCCACCTGTCAGCTACAGAACAGACACTCTGTGCTGGAGGGCTGTGCATATGCATGTGTATGCACGGGGGGGGGGGGGGGGGGCCAAAGTGTCTTCCTCGATTATTGTATTACTAAGACTTACTTATTTTTGTTTTGTGTGTATGAATGTTTGTTTGCATGTGTGCAAGCACACCATGAGCATGCTCGGTGCCTGCAGAGGGGGTCGGATCCTCTGAAACTGGAGGTAAAGATGGCTGTAAGCTGTCAAGTGGGTCCTGGGAGCCAACCTTGGTCCTTTGCCAGTGCTGTGAGTTCTTTGAGCCACTGAGCCATGCTGCTAGCCCTAATGCCTCCATCTTGCTTTTTGAGAAAGGGTCTCTCATTGAACCTGACACTCCTCAGTTTGGCTAGCCTTGCTAGCCAGCAAACCTCAAGAATCCTTTTTGTCTCTGCCTTCCCAGTGCAACGATTCCAGGTTTGGGCTGCGGCTCTCTCACGCATTCTAGAGATCCAGACTCAGGCCCTTGTGCTTGGGTGACAAGCACTTTACCAACCAAGCTGTTTCGTGAGCACCTTAGACCACAGATTCCAATGCGTCCTCCATGTTAGTGTCCTTGGTTGTCTGAATGAGGCAGTGGATCTGAGTGAGATAGGACCAGAGTCCAGAGGGCTCCTCAAAGAACAACTACACAAGCTGAACATGCCAATGGCTGCATTCTCTGAACTGTCTGAATGGCTGCCTCTTTGCTATTTCTTTTGCTACTCGAATGCATTAGTAGAACTAAGTTGTCGCTTCTTGCTATTTGAGACCCGCTTTTTGGCTTTGCACCCCACACCCTGAACCCTTCTGCTTGGAGATCATCCACAAACATTTCTAGAATTATCAGAAGACTCACTTTGAGTGACAGAACGGGGTCCCACATGCTGTTTGGTTGTAGGACCTGGTGTCAGATATCCTGAGCTGCCAGGGCTCCTCTGTGGAAGATCCCATTTATATTCTCTTGGTCGTTTCTGCCAGGAGCAAGTGTGGCTGCCTGAGGCTGTGTCCAACGGGAAGTTAGGAGCTGCTCTCCATTGCTCTCTTACTCAGTCTCCTTCCAGCTCAGGGAGACCAACAAACACAACTGAACACGTTCTTGGTAATGTGGTCAGTGTCACAGAAACTCACAGACTGGTGTAACTCCGGGTTACAAGCCTTAAAGGGTTTGTTGTGGGATTTTTCTAGCATGAAACTCAGACATTCAAATGTGGGCCCTGTAAGATGACAAAACAATGTGCAGCCATGGGCAGAGCGAGGAAAGTAGCATTTCCTCCTTGCTAACTAGGGGAAAGGGCAGTTTATACACTACTTGGCTCCCTAAATAGAAGATCAGTCACATCGGCTCCCTCCCTTGGGAGCTTGTCAGAAATGCAAAATCTCTGTCCTATCCCAGACTTGCTGAGTTAGGATCTGCACTTCAGCATGATTCCCAGACGATCCCCAGAGTGCGGTGCACCATGCTAAGGTTGAGAAGCTCTGGCTTTGTAGGTTACAGTTTTCTTACCCCCAACCCTCACAGGATGCAAATCAACAAGTAATTATCCAACAAGTCCCTAGCACTACACTTAGCTGCAGGCAGAGGGTGACCCCTGAGAGGGGTTTGGTGGCAGCTAGAGGCTGCAGGAGGGGCCCAATGAATCCAGTGCTCTGCACTAACCGGGTCCTTGCTAGCAAGATGCTTGTTGAGAGAACCAGGAGCCGGGGTTTCACCCCCCAGATGCGGCTTAGCTGTGAAGGACACCATGATCACGGCAACTCTTAGAAAGAAAAACACTTGACTGGGGCTTGTCTCATTGTCATCAAGACAGGGAGCAAGGTGGCACACAGGCAGACAAAGCCCTGGAGAAGGAGCTGGGAATTCTACATCCACGTCAGCAGGCAGTGGGAAGAGAGCAACCCTGGGCCTGGCTTGGACTTTTGAAAGCTCAAAGCCCATCCCAGCGACACACTGGGACTCCCTGATAACCAAGCATCCCATAATGAGCCTCTGGGGACCGGCCCTATTCAGACCCCCCCCCCCCAGGGCCGTCAGTTCTTAAGGCGTTATCACAGAGGTGGAACACTTGCTTTCTTTCAGGGATCTCAGAATCAAGGCATCTAACACCTGCCGTCAACTGCAGTGCCAAATGCTCTCCTTGTCCTCACCATGCGGTCCTTACCACAAACCAGGAGGTGGGGATCACCTTGCTCTCATCCCACTAGGGAAACAGAAAAATGTTAAGTCATTCAAGGTCACCCAGGGAGAAAAAGACAGAAGGAAGATTTTGAAACTAAACTCTGAGCCTGTGTTCCAGTGTTTCTCAGTGTTGTGTCTATCATTGCCTCCTCTCAGTCGTCCTTTTACATATTTTATCTAATTATGCCTCCATGACACTTTAATGCCATATATACACGGAGATGCTCCAGTAAGATAAATATGTATTTATACACTGTAATACTTCACTACCTTTCCTCAAGACCCATTGTTTTTAAAGACAGGGTGTCACTCCACAGCCCAGGCTGCCCTTGAAATCCAGGGCATTCTGTCGCAGCCTCCCAGCTGCTAGGATTCCACATGCACCACCACACCTAGCACAAGATCCAGCTTCTGTTCTTAGAGACAGGATCGCTTTAGGAAGAAGCTCACCTCATTGCTCCCTCAGTCCACAGTGGCCTGAGGAAGAAGCTCACCTCATTACTCCCTCAGTCCACAGTGGCCTGTGGGTAGTTGTCATGTGGTGAACTGTGGCCGCAGTGAAGAACCTGGTATTGGGGCTTCCGAGGCTGCCTGTGAGCAGAGCAGGAGTTGGACTTGGCCAGATATAGCATCTTTCCCAGCCTTGGAGGAGAGAGTTAAGACCCTGGTATCATTGGTATAGAACCAAGCCTCGGTTCTACCATTGCTGCTCATGGGCCTCTCGGCACTCTTTCCCACCTTGTACATGACACAGGCTGAGAGCCCAAGAGCAGGCAGTGGGGTGTGGTGAGCTGCATGTAGATGTGCTACAGAAGCATCTTAGTGCAGGACTGCAGTGCTGCACACCCTGCACCTTCCCGTGTCCTCTACCCAGCTCCTCTCTGCTCCTCCAAGGGGAGGAGGGGAGGAGGGGTTCACTCATACTGTATATGTGTATATATATATATATATATATATATATATATATATATATATATATATTAAGATTTGGGTTGGCTGGTAGAGTCTTCCCAATTCCATTTATCAGCCCATCAATGTCTTTAGGGGATGGTTGATGTGAAATTCCACCCCATTCATGACTTTAACCATGCAAAATGGGGGTCTCAGGAGCTGGGAGAAGCAGGAACCAGGTCCAGCCTACGTACTAGGAGGGTGGTGTTCTGAAACCCCACAGCGGGACACTTGGAAGCTAGATCACTCTAAGGGAGCGGAGTTGTGCTGGCCTGGTTTGGCATGCAGGCAGACCCAGGAGGCCTAGGTATACCACACTGGGTTGGCAGCAGGCTGGGGAAGCCCCTGTTGTGGAGAAGTGGATGAGTCAGTGTGAAAGCTGCGGGCTTATGGCAGACCAATAAACCCAATGCCAGAGCTTCTATGCAGTCCCTGTTCCCACGGCTCTACACCCTGTCTGGAGGAGTGGACCTAAGATGTCAGTCTTCACTTTTTGCCATTAAATGAGAACTGAATCTTGACGGAGTCTGTCAGAATATCAAAGCCTCTCCATCTTTAACCCTTTTAGAAGAACTGGGGAAAGACAAGGCTGTGGGCGGAGTCTGAAGGGTCAGAGCTCCAGGGCTCTGCCAACTCTGGAAGGTACTGCTCCACCAACAAGGAAGCTTCCTGATGTGAAGGAAGGACTCCTCTCTGGCTCCTTGTCTGGAGATTTACCTGTGGGCTGCCAGGTCTGGTCTGCTTGCTTTTCTGCTGGAGATTCCTATGGGAAAAGACAGTCTTAGTAGTCACAGGGAGGAGCAAAGGGAGCAGGAGGAGCTGGAAGAGCGGGAGGAGGAACTGGAGGAGGAGGAGCAGCAGCAGGAGGGGCAAAAGGAGGAGAGGAGCTGGAGGAGGAGAAGCTGGAGGAGCAGGAAAAGCAGGAGAGCAACCACAGAGGCAGCCACACAGAGAAAGCGAATCCATGCCGGAACCCTTGAACAGGCACTATGTAGCTTCTGGATTCTCGCTCTCTTAAAAGTCATGTCTCATGGGTGGGTCTGTCCTTGGTCTCAAGTTTCCAAGCAGCACTGAAATGTTTGGACTGTGGAGGTCACAGTAGAGAAAGGGAAGCTGGGAACAGGGAGGTGGGCAGGAAACAAAAAAAGGGATATACACAGACAGAGAAAAAAGCCCCTGTCCATGGAGTTAGAGAACCTCTGATTTGGGTGGGCTGAGTCCTGCGGAAATTGTCCTCTCCCCGTCCCCAGCTCATGGGACTGGAGAAGGCCCAATTGAGACTCCTGGTGACTGCGGAGTCACTGTGTGCTGAGTGTGTGGTCTCTAGAGAACAAAACGGACGGTGGGTCAGGTTTGATCTCTTCTGGGGTATGCAGGTAGCATCTCAGAATCCAAAGTTTAGAATAAACTTAGCAGAGTAGAAACATAAGGGTGAGGCTCACCTGGTACCCAGAGAGTTCCTAGAGGATGCAACTGTGTACATAGAGTCAGGATAAGAAACCTTGCTGGTCTGCAGGTCTACAGCTTGGGGGTGGTGGGGTGAGGTGCTCAGCTGTGAGCCCTGGACCCACATTGTAACTGCAACACATGTCTCATTCCTGGCATTGTGGCCTCTGTGAGCAGCGTGAGGCAGGAATAGAGATGTCCTCCAATCTCTACTGCCCAGACCGACATCAGAAGCTCTTGGCTCGTCCACTGCTTAGGCCTGTGGGGTTGTTACTGCATGCAGATCTCATAAGGGAATTAGCAAAGACCAAGTGCTGCATTTGCATAGATGAAGTCATGTGGGGCAGAGGGGGTTTTCTGAACTCTGAAGGTTTTAAGGGGTAGAGCTGGGAGCCACCACACTCACCCAAGTTCCTCGGTCTGTGACTCGGTCACACCTGAGGGAAGGTGGAGGTGACATCACCCGGACATCCACAGGCTGGCCTGAGCCGGTCTTTCTTTTCTCATTAAGTCACCAAACTCATAGGATGTGGGGAGCCCTTCCTCTAGCTTCCCCCTTCTCCCCACTTCCTCTTCTCCCTCTCAGGTTTTGCTTTCTGTGAATCAAATATTTGTTTATTTTAGAGTGCTTTAGACAGACTGGCTAGAGACTTCATCCATAGGCGTGTCTATCGCACACTTCTAACCTCAAATGTAACGTAAGATGCGGCCCCCAGCCAGTGTTCCTCATAGTGGAACATAAAGGATGCTGCTGGGTCAGCCGGGCAGATTCAAGAGATGTTCGTTTTGTGCCCCATTAGCTGCTGAGTCTTGAATAGGGGTGGGTGTGTGTGAGTTGTGGGTCAGCTTGCATGGGGCTCAGGGGATACCCTTGCTGGTCAATCCCAGCCTGCCACCTTGATGAAGACAGGGCCTCCGTGTTGCCAGCCTCTTCTTGTGCCTCAATGTCTGGCCCTCTAGCTTCTGGGGACTTGCGTGTCTTGCCTCTTGCCATAAGAGCACCATGATTTCAGATGTGTGCCCCCATGCCTGCATTTACATGGGTTCCGGAGATTTGAGCTCACAACCTCATAGTTGAACAGGAACTGTCTTACTCACTGAGCCACCTCCCCAGTCTAAAGAAAACAATATAAAAGCAACAATCCACTCATTCTTCTACGTCTTGGTTCAAATGACACAGCCTCCAAAAAGCCCTGGTCCCAGCAGACCTGGCACCTGCTGTCTCAAGCCAACCAGCAAAGACATTTTGTTTTTTTATTTTTTTCTTTTATAGGGAAAAAAATCTGAATATCCATTCATCTATTCATTGTTTAGGTTTGCATCTGAACTGCCACCCCAAATCCAAACTCACGTGCAGAGGGCCTGGTCCCAGCTGGAGCAGCCAGTCTCTGGCAGGTGACTGGACCATGAAGGTTCTGACATAATCAGCGGATTAGCAACCCCCCATCATAACACGGTGATGTTCCTAGGAAGCAGTGAGGGGGCAGGAGGGGCCTCCTTGGTAGAAAGAGGTCCACACCTCGTTCCTGCCCCGTCCCTTGTCTCTCCCCACTCCCTAGGCTCACCAAAGTCAGCGGTTCTATCCTAGCACACCCTTCAGCTCAGGCGCAACGCAGCCAGCCACGACACTGTCGTCCCCGAAACCAGGAGACAAAGAAATCATTCCTCCTTTTTTAAATCGTTCCCTTGGATGTTTATCAATCTAGACTGTCATCCAAGTGTGGCTGGAGCATGTGCCGGGAGTCTGGAGGGATGGCCCAGGGGCTGAAAGTGTGGCTGTCCTTGGAGACCGTGGCACCATGCCTGGAACTTCAGAACAGCTTTTAGCTCCAGCTTCGGGGGATTCTTCTGGCCTCCAGTGGACAGGAACATACACAGAAATCATTTTTAAGGTGCAGGAAGATGTGTAGTGAGTGGGGTCAGCCTTCCTGAAAGGACCACAGAGGAGGCCTGGGCTGAGGAGAGGGTGAGGATGGAGAAGCAGAGACTCCTCAGAAAGGGGGGGGGTGTTAAAATTTTCATTTTAATCATTTAAATTTTTTTATGTTGTATGGGTACCTTGCCTGTATGTCTGTACACGATATGCATGCAGTGCCTGCAGACACCAGAAGAGGGCGTCAGATCCCCCAGAGTTGGAGTTACAGATGGTTGTGAACCGCCCTGTGGTGCTGGGAGTTGAACCCGGCACTCTGAAGGGGCAGCCAGTGTTCTAATTTGCCAAGCCATCTCTCCAGCTTCAAGAGGGGTGGTTTCTGAGCAGCTGTGAACGAGTAGAGATGAAGTTAAGAACAAAGATGTGAGGAGTCGCGGCCCATGAGGCAGCCTGGGGGAGCCAGTGTCATAGGTGCCGCAGTAAAGTGACTGAGAGCAGAGAGGAAGTCATGTGTGCACTAAGGATGAGGTTTGTAAAGCAACACCTTCCATTGAACACGCCCTCCTGGGTCCCTCAGCTGGAGAAGCCTGGCTCCTGGCTGTGCATGGTGTCATAGCACTTAGGAGGCAGAGGCAGGAGGATCAGGAATTAGGCTATCCTGGCTTCTTGGTAAGTACAGACCAGCCTGGTCCCCTGAGACTGTCTCGAACACGAGACAAGACATCCCTGCAGAACTGGCGTAGGACTCACAGCAGGACTCCTTCGCTTACAGTTTCATTTTGAACCGTCTTGTTTTTTTCAGCTGGGATCTGAAAAGGTTAGATGGGAAATTCCAGAGATATTTAGTTCTTGGTTTCGAAACATCAGGTCATTCTGAGTAGCCTGGTGAGACTCTGTCCCCTCAGCACCTGCCCTGGTTTTCTTTTCTAGTGTGTCCGAGGTGTATATGCTGCCCCCCAAAGCTGCCTCGGTTAGCACACCACATGACCGTGGGGCTTGATATAGGGTTCAGGGTCTTGGGTTCAGGAGTCTGACAGAAACTCAGTGACTTTCTCTTTGTGGAAGTTGCCAAGAGTAGGGGATTCATGGAGAGATGAAACCGTGCCCGGGTGAGGACAAGGAAGGCTGCCCGAAATTCCCGTCAATGATTCCTGCCTTTCAGTTTTGTTCCAGAACAGCATTGTGAATTACAGTTTTAGATGGACTTGAACTACATTTCCAACTCTGTGTGTGTGTGTGTGTGTGTGTGTGTGTGTGTGGAGAGGATTCAGGGAAGAAATAACGGGTTTAGAGACAAGCACTTCTTTGTGCTCTCCTGTGCAGAGTGGAGACCCTTTAACCCTAGGGCTGTCAGCCAGCGCCAGGCCTTTTCCACCTTCCCGTAAGGAGGTTAGCTCAAACAGGCTCTGCTGAATTGGGCCTGTACCTGCTCACCTGATTTTATCAGGCAGGGCAGACATCTAGCAAAAGTGACCAATGACCACAGACTTGAGGCTTCAAAGAAAACCCAGGGCTCCACTGGGAATGAGCTCCAAAGGGCCATTTGCAAGAGCGAGAAACGGAGGGAGGAAAATACCAAAGGGAGGGGCCCCCTCTGGTTGACCCTGTTCAAGGCCCACTGGGCAGGCCAACTGAACACCATTTCCTGCCAAGATTTCCTGGGACATCAACATTCTTGCCACCAGTGTGTGTGTGTGTGTGTGTGTGTGTGTGTGTGTGTGTGTGTGTGTGAATGTGTGTGTGTGTGTGTGTTGTGTGCAGGTAGCATATGGAGGTTTCTGACCTACACACATAAACTTGGAAGTAGGCAACCCTGGCATTCCTTCCTTTGCAGCACTTTTGAAGCCATGTGATTTTGGGCTAGCGCCCCCGCCCCCAAAAAAAACCTTGTTCCTTCTCCTACAGGAGGGAGACAGTGACCTGTTATCACAAACTGAAAGGCTTTGCAGCCCTGAGCAAGGCTCCTGGCTGGCCAGGCGGGCTCTGTCCCTGTGAGCTGCCCTTGTAACCAGGAAAAGAATTTGCGCAGATGGTTGGGGCAGGAGGTCTGCTGCTCCAAGGAAGCATGAAGAAGTCTCTCAGAAAAGAACAACAAACCTTCCCTAAGTATTTCTTCCAGGAAGTTGGGAAACTTGTCAAGAAACCAAGCATCCTGCACACAGCACGTTTTCAAAAGTGAAAACCCACAAGTTTAAAGGAAAGCGTGGGGCTTTGGGAGAATTGAGGAGCGAGAAGGACTGGAGAAGGATGTAAATGGTTCCTAGGTGGAGGTGATGCAGAGGCAGACGCGTGTACCTTAGACAGGTGCCATCTTTTCAGAAGTCCAGGCTTGTCGCGGAAGCTCCAGACTCTCTAGTCCTTTCCAGGAAAGCCTTGTCTACAGACGCCCCCAAAACCTGGGAGTGGGCTGCAGGTAGAAGTTTCCTGTGCCGTCAAGCGTGCGCGATCCACAGGTGCACTGGGCCAGGAGGACCGAGAGCGAGCGCCAGGTGAAGGCTCGCAGCGGTGCTCAAGGGACTCACCCTGGAGGGCCCAGGACGTGAGCACACGGGCTCGAGGGGTCAAGCAGGAGGCGCTCTAGGTCCTTCTCCACCTCCTCGCTGTCCCTCAGTCTCCTCCTCTCGGCATTGAGTTCGCAGTCGCTGCACTTGAGAAGTCAGATCTTGGTGAAGACAGGCGGGCGCTTGCTGCTCCCGTAGCCTCCCCCAGGCTTTGAGGACACCCTAGTCTTTCGTCTTCGCGCCGCCGCCCTCAGGCCGATTTGGAGGAAGTGATCCGCAGCCGGGGCGGGGAGCACAGGGCCGGGTGCGCGAGGAGGCGAGCGCCCACTGTCCGGACCGGCTGCGGAGATCCCAGGTGCGGTCGAGGGCGACGCGCCTGGGTGGAGACCGGATCGTAGGGCTGGGGGCGCGGCGGCCACTCCGGGAGGTCGGGCGGCGAGCGTGACCTCACTGGGAGGGGCCAACACGCAGCTGGGGCTCGGAACCCAGCGCTGAGGGCGCTGTGGGCGCTGTGCGGAGCGGTTCGCAGCGCCGAGAGCGCAAGCCGTGACCGGGATGGAGCGCTACAAAGGTGAGGACTGGGGCGCACCTACTTTCTCCGGGAAAGAGGGAGGGGGCTTGTCGCTCGGACTTAGGTGTTTAACCCAAAGAACAGCAACCCAAGAGGAAACGACCAAGGCGCCATGGGCCAGGAGGTGGGCTCCAAGGCATAGAACGCGGCCCGCGCCTTTTGATCTTTCTGGGCGCCTGGGGTCTCTGCGTGGAAGTCAAGGTGAGGCTTTTCACCTGTTGGAGAACCGAAGGTGTGTCTGGAGTCATCCTGTCACCCCACCCCCCAGTTTGCCTTGGGAAAAGATGTCTACAGTCGAGGGGGCCCGAGTAAGGTCTCAACAGTGAGGGCTGCTGAGGGCAGAAGGGCGAGTTGTAAGGTCCTTTTTATGGGTGCTACCCTGCAGAGGGGCTGCTTGCAGATTCCTAGTAAAGACTTGTCGGGTGGTAAAGAAAGCTCCTCATGTCGTGGGGTGGCGTGCTGTTCTGTTCTTGGCTAGGTCCGACTCTCCAACACTTGGTAACCGTGCCTGTCCGAACCCCTTGCGGACCCTGCACCCCCAAGCTGCATAGGGTATGGGTTGAGAGCCCACTGGGCTGCCCAGCAGGTGGAGCGCCTGTAGGCGTCCTGGCAGCTGAGCGAGCTTGGATTTGACTCTGGCCAGGGATCTTGGCCAAACCCTGGTGGGCGGGCCGGCCCGGATATGCCCGAAGGGTTTTGGAGCCCCGGGGCTGGAGTCCAGAAGCCTCGGATAGTAGGTCCTTTGAAAAGCGGGTTCAAGGTGCTGCCCCCGAAGCGGATATTTCGGTGCGCCCCCACATGCCTTCCTCTGGGAAAAGCCTCTTGCACTGACACTTTTTTCAGGGGTTGTTGACGGTAAACCTGCGGCTTCTAAATTTGTTTCCCCTGGGAGGGTAGTAACGCGACCGCTCAGATTCCCAAGGAATCTCGCCCTCTGTGGTTTCTTATTTATGGAACTCACATAAGGGGACCTGCGCGGACAGACCAGTTCCCTAAGCAAGTAACGTCTTTTGGCTTTCCTTTTGCGTTTTCTCACCAGGATCATTAGTGGGGAATGAGATAACCGCCAAGACTCACCAGTAAATGGGTCTAGGCACTAAGATCGGTGGGGCGGGGGAAGGCGCCAGGAGAAATCACTTAGCAAACAGGTTTCTTTTCGTGTCTTTTCACTAGAGCCCCTCTCCCAACTAGCCGGGTGGTCTCATCTAAGTTCTGATTGACTCTGGTCAGTTTTGTTCGTGAAAGGCAGAAATTGCCCTTATGAGGTCTCAAACACTGGAGGCCACAGCCCCTCTCCTGGTGAAATGTCAGGGTTCTGCTCCCGCCTCCACCCTGGGCCTCCGCCCTTAAGGAGGGAACCTCTTGGGGGGGGGGGGGGAGAGTGCGGGAAGTGGGTTGGTGGCTGAGGCCGTGGGTGCTGACTGGAAATACAGACTTTCAAGGCCCCTTCAGCTCCCCGGATTGCGAAGCTGAAGGAGATGTTGACTCCAAATGGAGGATCCAAGATGCAAGCTACTTCTTAGCCCGAGCAGCAAACTGATTTAAGTTAACAAGCGACAGGTGGGCAGATGTTGGCCCAGGGTTCATCCGCAGGTTTTTGTGTAAATAGTTTCTGAATTGGCTCTTGGAAGGTTAAAATCTGCTTTATTTGTCTTTCCTGGGAACTGAAAATCTCATCCCCCACCAGGTTTAGTTAGGGGCTTTCAGCTGACTCAAGGGAACTTGGTGTCAGTGTTTATGTTTTGGATGCAGATGTGTGCACTAGAGATCGCTAATTCGGTAGATTTGAGGATCACCTGGATTGCCAGGGAGACCACTCCCCCCCCCCACCCTCTTCAGTTCGCCTCCGGGGAGAAATGAGCTCAAATCTCACTGATGTCATGCCGCTGCTATCTGCTCATTTTTCTGGGAAGAACGTGGGGATCTTCTCCCCGGTGAGTTGCAGCGTCTGTTCTCAGGAGAGGCCATGAGTACTGCTTTGGGAACTCAGTGAATGCAAACTCTCCTCTGCAAAAACGAGTGCTAAGCTTCATAGCTGGTAAACCCGGAACCTGGCTGGGACCAGGTTACTCTTGCTGCTCAGACACTGGAGAATGTACATGTTTTTGTAAGGTTTGTGATGTAGCCCAGTCTTAAGAGACCTGCCTGGCATGGGCAGGGCCCTGGGTTTGAGCTCCGGCACACACACACACACACACACACACACACACCACACACACGCGCGCGCGCGCCATATTCTAAAGGTAAGACTGAATAGTTACAGAATAAATAGGTATAGTGGTTTAAATGATAAAGTTAAATAGAAAAACAAGATGTATCTGGGCTCTTGGAACTTAGATAAAACTGAAGAATTCTGACGGTATCTGACATTTTTTAAATTTAAAAGATTTTATATTTCAAAATTCCCAATTTCAAGCTCTCTTTCCCACATAGGTAGAATTGCTCACCATTGTCTTCAGAGTCCAAAAGTGTTTTCTCTGATTCAAAAGCTTAGGAAGCGGTCATGGCAGGAGGAATGTTCTCTCTGTCCACAGCCTCACCGTTGTCCACTGTGCCTCCTCTCTAAAGTAGCTTGTAGTTCTAGGCCCTGGGTTAACTTTCGGTTGTCTTGAGGGAGCTTAGGGATGGCTGAAACATCGTCCTGTGCTTAGTACTAAAAAACAAAACAAAACAAACAAACAAAAACACCTTATAGGTGTTTTTTCCAGTTCTTTCCAACCCCTTCTGCTAGATACCCCTGGCTTTCTCAAGCAAAGGCCAGGGGTGTGGAAGGGTGTGAGGGTCTCTTACCATAGGGACAAGGCTGTTCTGAAAAGGCCAGGGGTGTGAAAGGGAGTGAGGGTCCCTTCCCATAGGGACATAGGTGTGTGTGTGTGTCTTCTGTTCAGAGAATTGCTGTAAAGTGTCGGTAAAGTAGCTGTGCCTCTCATGTAACCTCTTTGGCGCTGTATAAGCAGTGAGACCCCGACAAGTGTCCAAGATTCAGTGCCAAGTCCTACAGGGTGCCTTGAAACGGCCCCCATCCCTGAGTGTTTATATATTCATGACGTTCCTAAGAGCATCCTGTATCACTGTGCATGAGCCCATTGGCTGACCTCACCCCATGCAGTCAAGGATCCTGGTTCCTATTGCTCTCCCAGCTGGCGAGTGGGTCCAGGGCCAAATGTGACTGACCTACTATCTGTGGATTACACTTGGAACCTCATGCCGAAGCTTCCTGAAGTTGCATCACACTTGGATGTGAACTGGCCAGGCTGAGATGTAGACTTCATTTTAGAAGGGAGTAATACCATCTATAATGGTTGTGGGGGTGACTTTTTCTTCTCCTCAGCCTTTGGTTTTTTCAGTCTGCTCACTGCTTCCTTAGGTGATGTTGTGGCCCAGAGGTAGAAGGGAACTGTGGAGCAGGGAACAACGTGTCTTGAGAGCTGTGGTCAGGGACGGTCTGGAAAGAAAATACTAGATAAGGGAAATCAAGCGGATGATAACTTACAGTTCCCCTCCAGAAATGATCTTTTCTCCATGCCCAAGAGCTCAGCTTTTCCTTGCTGATGTGTGACCTAGAAGCAGTGGTTCTCAACCTCAGCTGGGTTAGGGTTTATGTGTGGGGCATGGGAAGGTAAAGGGGGAAAAGCCCCACCAGACGTTCAGATTTAAATGTCTAGAGTGTGGGATGGGCACTGCCGTTTTCAAAGATCTCCAGGTGATCCTAATGTAATCCAAAGTTGAAAATCATATTTCCTTAAAAAAAGAAACATCAAAACAGAAAACTGGGAGGAGTAGGTCGGAGAGATGGTCGCCGTGCAAGCGTGAGGACCCGATTCATAACCCTGGCACCTGTGTGAACAACCAGATATGGTGGTGTGTGCTGGCTAGCCATGTAGCTGCATCGGCAAGCTCCAAGTCCCCAGGGGACTAATTTCTAAAAAATTAAGGTGGAGAGCAAGTGAGGAAGATTACTTGATAGCCTTTGGCCTACACACATACACACACACACACACACACACGGGTGGGTGGGAGGAGACATATGTTTGCTCCTCAGAAGAACTACTTTTAGGGGTACTAAGATCTGATGATGCTCAAATCCTTAAAGACTTGTGTATGAGGCACAACATCCTCTCAACTGCTTCTCTTCATCTGTAGGTTACAAAGTGGGTAGCTTCTCTATCGTAGTGTTTAGGAGATCATGGCAAAGAAACCACTATGCACTTAACTACAGTTGCAACTGTTGTAGATTGAAATACACAGTACACGCCATCAACAACATAGCATATCCCTACCCCACCCCAGTGCTGTGGGTCTCGGGTTGGCTGATTCCAAGGCCGCAGAACTTGGGCTGCCTAGAAGTCAACACACACCCTCAACCTGGAAAATGGAAGTGAGCATGGGGAGAGATAGGGTGGACGCTCCCCTGTTATTCCAGTGTGCATTCTGATGCCTGCAGAAATAGGACGCGATTCGCCTTCAGCTAGTGTAGGCTGTGGACAGAGGTGTGTGAGCATGTCCAAGTCTCCATGCTCTGCAGGCCTCTGCTCGAGTTTGCTTATTGTACTTGACCCCGGGCACACCTGACTTTGAAGCTCTTAGTGTGGGAGCCTGGCAGTGAAATGGTCTAACCCAGAAAGCAGTTGAGGTCATGTTGGTGCCCAGGAGCCAGGAGCCAGGAATTCGGCTTTGGGCCCTTCCCCTCTCCTGATGGTGTAGAAGCCCTGGGAACTGGGCTGCTTCCAGCGCAATTAAAGAGCCAGGATGGGCCAGGAAGCTTCAAAGATGAGAAAGCTGTGTGGGTTTTCCTCCAAACCCCTTTAATGACAGGAAATGCTCCTCCAGAGGCATCTGTCCCCAAGCTAGGGAAAAGGGCACTGTGGCTGCCACCAGAAGAGAAAGCATGGTGACAGAGTGGAGAACACAGCAGCCTGGAACCCATGACCTACATGCTGTGTGCTTCCTTGGGCCTGTCGCTGATCTTTCCAGGCCTCCGTTTCCCCATCTAGAAACCTTATGTGTCCCTTATGTGACTGTCCAGGCTCACTGCTGTGGTCACGGAGGACTCTTCAGGGGGAGAATGTGTTTGGGAAGGGAGTGAAGTGAGGGAGGAAGGGGGGATGTGGCTGCCAGCAAAGGTCAGTTTAGGATTGCGATTCTTATAAATAAAACTGATTTCCTGTCGGGAGACGGGGAGTCGCGGGCTTAGTGGGAAAGAGAATGCTGTCAAGTATGGAAGGAATTCATTTCTGAAGAACTCACATGTCACTGTGTCTCCAAAGAGAGTTCAGGCCAGTACTAGGGTTTGAGAGAGAGCATGAGTCAGTCCCGTGTGTGAGGCAGGGCTCCTGAGTCCGTAGAGGGTAAGCGGCAGTTCAGAGGGTCAGTGGCGGGCTGTGACGGGCTGAGTTTGTAAAAGAAGAATTCCTGCTGAAGAATGTATCTAGAAAACACTTCTGGAAATGCTTGTCAGCATCTTTATGCCAGGAAGAGGTCAGCTGCTGAGTTAAACTCCACTCTGTCTTTAGGACTCAGCCTCATGGCTGTCTTCTACAAAGCCATCATGGCTTCCATGACACTTGGTAGGCACACAACGTTGTCCTGAATTGATGTCACTTGGTCTTATAATTATATGCAGATCTATTTTTCCCTGCTAGGCTAACCTCAGTCGGGATAGGGACTTTGTCTCTGCCTTCTGAGAGTCCAAGCCCAGCCCTTGGCCCCTCCCCAGGCACACAGTAAGGACAAATGGATACTTGAGTGTCCTCTTAGAGCACAGATTGTCTCGAGCCTTGCTTCTTGAGAGCAGACCTGGTTCAGGAAAAGAAATGAAGCTAAATCTTTGAGTCAGATTCTGGAAGCGGGGAAGGAAGTGCCCCTGCTGTCCTTGGCTGCAGCGACTTGAGCCCTTTCTCTGTCTGTTCCAGCACAGGGGTGTTGCTGTCTGATGGTGCAGAGAAGGATCCTGCAGGTCTCTGCTTGTGAGTATGAGCCTGTCTGTGCCCTCTGCAGCAGCCCAGCCGGCCTCCAGGCTCCCGGGGATGCAGACCTGGCTCAGCCCATGCTGTGGATGGAGGGCTAGGGGACACCACGGAGCCAGCCTCTGGCCCAGGCGCACAGGGGCTGGAGCTTCTAATCTGCCTTTTGCCACTAACATCCCGTGCGACCTTGGGCAAGTCAAGCAATCTTCCTGGGTCTTGTTTTGGAATGAGTAAGCTACTGACCACTAACCCACTCCCAGGTGGAATAACCCAAGAACCACTGGTAAATGCTTTGCCAAAGATGGTGCCGTGTTTAATCAGGGGAACAGACAGTGGTATCTGACTCCTCTGTGGTGTGGTTCTGCCCTGGAGATGTGTGCGGGTCCTCAGAGGCACAGTCTGCATCCCTTCTAGGCCAGCAGGAATGATTGACAGGACTCGCTGTCTCCTCCGCTTGTGCCCTGGGCCTGCCTGATTTTCTCTGCTAACTCAGTGAGTTTAAGCAGGGGAGACCTACAGATTCCAACAGGAGCTTGGAGCGCCTTGCTAATGTTCTGTCAGTAGACTCTCATTTTCTCTCTACTCAGTCTCCAAATAAACTAAGCTCAAACTCGGCCAAGTGGAGGGTATGGAGAATAACGCATAATGCGCAGACATGTGGGTGGAGTCAGCGTTGCTCTGGACTGTAGGGTGAGGCAGGGCACCTGATGTCAGGGGTCTCTCTGGGAGAGAGGTGAGGGCAAGGTGACAGAAGCCTTAGGGCTCAGGTTTTCCTCCGCCCTAAGGCTTCCTAGGGACTGCAGGCCAGCTATGGGCCTGCTGGAGGGCCGTGCGCTTGCGTGGAATGTCAGCACTAGCAAACGGCAAAGTAGCTTCTGCTCAGCATTAAATCAGAGAAACAGAGCCAGCTGCTAGCTGGAGAGCGGTCTCAGCTGTGCCCCAGAAGGAACCCCCACGACAGGGGGGCAGTCTACCCTTGGAGCTGGCTTTCTTAGGTCCAAGTGACCAGCCATTCTGGTTTGCCTAGGACTTGTTGGTCTTGCCCCCTGGAACCCCACCTCTCAGGAAACTCCTTAGCTCTGGGAAAACTGAGGTGGGGGCTTGCCCTATTCCCGAACCTCGGCTGTTGAGTCTCTCTGCATCTCCACAGCAAAGGTGCACCAGAGCATGTGTTCCGTCTCTCCAATAAGAAGGTGAAAGGCTGAAACTAAAGTGGTTCTAATGGCCTCTACCAGTTCACAGGATGCCAAGTGAGAGGAGGCAGGCTCGAGAATCAGTGCTGTAGGCACCAGGGCTGCTCTAGGGGATGGGGGGCCCACAGGACATAATACAATAGGTGTCATGAATGCTAGAAATGCCCGACTTCCTGCTGGGCAGTGATGGTGCACTCCTTTAATCCCAGCTCCCAGGGGGGTAGAGGCAGGTGGATCTCTGAGTTCAAGGCCAGCCCACCTACAAGAGCTAGTTCCAGGATAAAGTCCAAAGCTACACAGAAACCCTTCTTAAAAAACAAAACAAAAAAAGACAAATGTGCAACCTCGTTATGGTGGTTGGACAACCATGTTCATTGTCCAGTTAACAGGGCAGGTTTGTTTTACTCTGTGTCTAAATGACACCTTGGTAAACTGCCTGCTAAAAGCACGTTGCAGGTCCTTGGGTACCTTCGCCGGTCCCACTGTCCATATTGACAGTGTATTTCTCTGGGATGTTTTCTCTCTTTGCCCCAAACCCAGTTGCTGCTTTTGTAAACAAAATCACACCTATGCCGCCTTGCAGACCCTGGTGCTGCTGAGTGAGATGGAGGATGCGTGGAATACCTTGAGTCATTATAGGAAGTCAGTGGAAACTGAGTCTTGGTGCTGGAGGTGGAGGCGCTGGAGGTGATGCAGGAGGTGGCACAGGAGGTGGTGCTGGAGGTAGAGCAGAAGTCTGGTTGAAGCACAAAGATCAGCTTCAACTGCATCCTTAGCAGTGGAGACTTGTAGAAAGTGGATGATGACGGAAGCATTCCTTTCATTGGAAAACCAGGTTCCCTGAACGCCGGAGAGCAGGTGAGTCCAGGAAGACCCTGGGTAAGGGAGCCCTGGACATCACCCTGGATGCTGTGCTCCTAGCCACGTGTGGCTCTGCCGTGGTGACTGTGGTGATATTTCCTTCTGGAAGTCTTTTCACTGTGGCTATTGCGCTAGGTGGGAGCAGCCAGACTGCACCTTCGTCCATTCTTTGTTGACTGTCTGGCATGAGCAGTTCTACCAGCAAGTGCTATGCCGGGGTTTGTTTGGAGGGGGAGGAAGCCATGGGAGAGCAACCCCAACTTAGTTCCAGGTGATGTGAAGGATGTCTCCAGGCAGGGCTGGGCCTTGTGCCACAGGGGCTAAATGGTCAGTCTTCGCCATACTTCCCTCATGGTTTCCTTTTCTCAATCAAGCATGTTGAACTGGTCTGCTCTTTAGGTGAATTTCATTGGTTCTAGTCGTAGCTGGCTGGAGCCAGTCTTTGCATCTTTATTAAGGATAATGTGTTGGATATCCATGGAACATCTCTCCTCGAGGATCATGTGGACAAGATCATGTTCACATGTGAATTACACTAAAGAACTCTTTTTAAACACTGACGTGTTCAAACCACTAGTCACCCCAAAGACAACACAATTACAGGCAGTCACTGCTAGAGTCCCTCTGTCTTGAGTTTGTTGGCAGAGTTGGGGGTTCAGTGACAGAATGACATTTTTGGACCTATTCCTGGTGAGACATCCCTTGAAACAGGGTCAGGTCTGGCTGTGGCTGCTTCCCCTGAGAAAGACCAAGTTTGGGGAAGCCCTAGTATGCGCTTCTGGTTTGAGTACAAAACCTGGAGGGTTTGCTTATATAAAGGGGGTCTGGGAGCTCAAAGGTAAGGGGGCTCCACGTTTTGCTTCACCTGTCTGCAGGTTAGGGCCACCCTCTCAGGGTTAGCTCTTCACACCAACATCCTTCGGGTTTGGGGACCTGTCAGCCATCCTGCTAGACTAGCAAGTTGGACTCTTGCCATTTCCTCCCATCTCCCACCCTCTTTTTGCCTCCCCCCACCCCCGGTTCTTATACAACAGGATTTATTCATGTTAACTGTATTCAAGTTCCAGATGGGGGCAGAAGAAGAGATTATGTTGAATGAGCTTATTGTTTGAAGGTCTCACTGGCTTCTTTGATTTAATACCCATAGCCCTAGAACACATTGAGCTGATTTACTGAATTTCCAATGTGGCCGAGTGGAGGGGACCCTGCTAAGGCGCTTAGTGTCCCTGATTGCAGGGCCAGGAACTGTTGGGTGGCAAGTTTGCCCGGGGCACCTCAACTTTATCTTTATAGTCTTGGTTCTCCTGTGGCAAATATTTCGTCATCATCCCAGACTGTATACCCCGGAGATGGTCTTACCCTGCGGCTCTTTGCATTGTGAAGACTGTGGCATTCCCAGCTGGCACGTTTTTTGAAAAAAACTAGAGACAATGTAGTGTATAATGCCTTCTACAGATAGAGACAGTGTGGTTTACGGTACCTTCTGCTTGGCTGTCGTGATGGTCAGTGTTTATTGTCCACATGACACAACTTGGAATCACCCGGGAAGCGGGAGCTTCAGTTGAGGAGTTTTTAGAGCCTATTGGCCTGTGGCCATGTCTGTATCTTTGTTGATGATTGATGTGCCAAGGCCTAGCCAATGGTTGGTGGCACTGTCGCTTGGCTGGTGAGCCTGGGCTGTGTAAGAAATGTAGCTGAGGATGCCTAGGTGAGGGAGATAGTAGAGAGTGTTCCTCCGTGGTCCCTGCCCTAGCATCCCTCAGTGATGAACTATGACCTGGAAGTGTAAGATGAAATAAACACTTTCCTTTCCAAGTTGTTTTTGGTCAGAGTGTCTTATCATTGCAACAAAAAGTAATTAATGCAGAGTGGGGGGAATTAAGGGGTGACGTGGAAAGCATCTGGCAGAAGCAGCAATATCAGACAGCCTCCTGCCTTCTGCTTGGATGCCTGATGCAGGGCCTCCGGTCCATGAGGTACAGCGAGGTGGTCATTAGCAACTTCACTCTTTGTCCTACCATGCTGGGCTCTTTGTAACTGCTGACCTCAGACTCTGTAGGCGCTGACCTACTGGCCAGATGTGCCTGCATGCTGGACTGCCTGGCAAGCTTCCTTGACACCTTGACCTAGGCGTGTTCTAGAGATAAGGGTCTCTACCACGGTTGTTATTGGATTTGTACCTGAAGCTCATGGTGTGTCAGGCTGTCAGGTGTAGCTGTAGCATAGATCTGTGACAGTTCCAGATGTTTGGAGCTCTTGGTGGCCTTCTGAGGGAGCCACCATAGGCACTTCAGCTGGGTAATCAAGTGTCCCTCTGGAGTCATTGGAGATCTGTCTGTGATTCGCATTGCCACCACCCTACCTGTCTTGAGACCTGGTGCTGGGAATACAGGAAGCACACATCCTAAACCCATGTGCACAAGTGTGACTGGGTGCACCAAGGGTTCTTATGGAGGAATATGAACCAATACCATCCATGGGGTGTGCCAAGGGTTCTTACAAGGGTATATGAACCCACACCGTCCATGGGGTGTGCCAAGGGGCAATATGAACCCATGCCATCCGTGGGGCTGAGGGGTGTGCCAAGGGTTCTTACAGGGCAATATGAACCCACGCTGTCTGTGGAGTGCGCCAAGGGTTCTTATGGGGGATTTGAACCCGCACCATCCATGGGGTGTGCCAAGGGTTCTTACGGGGGGAATGTGAACCCATGTCATCCATCCATTGGGTACACCAAGGGTCCTTACAGGGGTCCTTGGCAGCCAGCCCCCTTCCCTCTCTCGTCCTCTCATCCTACAGTTTCATATTCTTCCATCTTTATTGTCTCTCATGTCCACTCTCTCTTCTTTCTTCAAAACATTTTATTATTTGAGAGAGAGAGAGAGACAGAGACATACAGAGAGACAGAAAGACAGAGAGAGACACATGGGAGGATGGGGTACACAC